GAAGATGATGGAATAGAAACTGTAGAGGAATTAAGTAAGTGTGCACAGCGATGCGAATGAAGTTTGTATCTACGGACGTGACGATGCTTATGTCATGTTTGTTCCGATGAAGATTGGCGTGTGCTCTTGGTGCCACCTTCTTCTTTCAGCACACCAAACTTTGACGACTATCTGTTGCAATTATGCCGAGTCTTCCAGAAGCAGCTTTACAGTGCCAGGAATATTTTGTAATGTTGCTGCTCCATCTCAAAAAGTAGAGAGTGAGAGAGAGAGAGAGATGAGCTTCAAACGATGCCAACACTACAGGAGACAATGAAAAACAAGTCCACTTGTGTTTTAATGCAACAGCACACGAGAACTTGCTCCAACGCTGGACTCGGTGGCGGAGTCCTCTTCTCGACAAGGTGTGTCTGAGGTCAATCGCTTGCATCCTTTTGGAGTTTCGCCACATACGATGGATTGCGAGCTTGATGCCTTTCGAGGGATACCCTTGCGATTTTCCAATATTACAAAATTTGCCTTCGTACTGCAGCCGAGAGAAGACATGCAGAGCGACCGTGAATAATGAAAAACAACAAAGTTTCCATTTCCATCCAAATAGTTCAGGAGAAATTGTGGTGCTATTCTGACTGTAGACGCTTTGTCCTCCTCCTTGAAGGATGACCAATGCTCCTGCAAGCACAGAATCACGTTTGCCATACACTTTGAACTGCGGAATGGCGGACGACATTCACTCACAAGCATAGTGTGAATCATGAAGAAAATTGTGGAAAGCTCCTGCAAAGCTAAAGCTCATAGAAAGTGGCCGTATGCCTGTTTTTCAATGACATAATATTCCGTTGGGGTGAGAATTTCGGCTATGAACGAATGAAGGCCTCTACAGTAGCTCATTTGGGTTGCTCAAGAGCTCCTCTACGGAGCCCACTGCGCTCATAAGACGACATCCGAGCTCTGAATCCCATCCTCAACCCTTGAGTGGCAATGCTTGGTTCCCAGGGGACAACATAAGTTTCATGTGACATGGTGATCAATACGCCACCTCCGTGTCTCAGAAGTCGTTTCGCTGCGGTTTGTTTGTTTGACACTGAGTTTGAGAAATCTACACTTGGAGGATCGATGGATGGCCTCTCTCGTCGCCCACTCAACTCCACTCAACCAAAAGCAACGAAATCCACCTCTCCCCCTCCTCCTGCCGATGATGGGACAGGCGAGTCCGAAGGACCAAGCGAGCGAGCAAGCAAGCAAACAAACAAATTACGATCCTTGCCTCTTTTAACAGCACAGGGAAAGAAGAAATGAGTGGCATGTTCGCTTCCCTGGAGACAACAAAACACATCCTTCCTGAATTCTACTTACTGCTGGCATGTTCAAATCATACCAGCAGAAACAGCAACCAGGCCCCAAAATCGAGACAGACAGGGCGGGGGCAAAACCGTGTGCGCCATAGCCCAGAGTCTGGTATTGCCATGGGGTCCGAGCTTGTTTTCGGTCCACCACGTCGATGCAAACTGCGGTCGACATGAGAAAGAACGGCGTAGGAGATGGGCACTTGCCTGCAAACTCTCCGAGGCCGAGGAGTACGACCTACTACGCGCACAGCTCGTAAATTCACGATATTTTCGAGCCTTATAAATCTCGGCCTATGGTTATCGTTGACATAATCAGCGAAAAACATTCTCGAGAATATTTCTTGTTTTTTCTCTAGACATTCGACTGTACGCTCAAAGGATTCGCACGGAAAATATATTCTGTACTCGTAACAACAGAAATGAACACTTTTCTCGCACAGTGGAGCGAGCGGAGGGGCCATTAAAATAAGAGTGTCCCGAGACCAGCCCCCTCGCGACTGTTGAGCGGAGAGTGCAGGAGGAGGAGGTGGTGCTGCTGGTAGGCCCCAGGGCCGCGATAGAATACGCAACTTTATGGCAAAAGGTCGAGATCGCTGCTCGAACTGCGGGATTGGCAGCGGCCTGTGGTTGTGGCCTTCCTCGGCTGGGTTTGCAGATCGGCCACTTTCCCTCGTACCCAGCCTTCGGTCTAGCTCCTGTGCAGGCCGAAGCAGCGGCGGAATTGGGCAATTGCCTGCTCGCGATTCAGAGTCAACCCTCTCGCCAGTCAGCGGGTCCCAGAGGGAAGAGAGAGAGCGAGAGAGAGTTCGTGGTGCTAGACGAGCTCTCGTAGTGACAGTGTCATGACTACTCCTCCTCCTGACCCACTGCCCTGACAGGTGACCAGAGTGAGGGGAGGGAGGAGGAGAGGAGGAGAGGAGGAGAGGGCCGACCGTCCGAGGCGGGGGTGGAGGTGTGGGGAATGAAGAGCGCGAATTCAGCAGAGCAGAAGAATATGATTGTGCGCAGAATTCCCAAGCCCGAGAAAATGCTTTTTCTTCGAGCCCAAAAGCAGGAAAGCAGAGAGAGAGAGAGAGAGAGAGAGAGAGAGGGTGGGCAGTGGACTGCGGACTGCTGGGGACTGCTGCTGCTCTCGAGGAGGTTTCAATATTTTCCCCGTGATGGGCAGTGCAATTAGCGTCGCCGGGCCTACCCCTAGCGCTCTCGATTTATCCGGTGCTCATCATCGCCTGTCAGAACGGAGTCACGGACGATTCGTGTTCTTCTGGACGGCTGATCCCCCAATTGCAAGCTCCTCTCTCCCCCTCTCTCTCTGCACGGCGTGCACTCTGACGGACATTCATCAAGCCGCGGTCAAAACCTCACACAGTTCTGGTCGGTTCGAAGCACGTCATTGGTAAAGTTTGTTGCACCGGACCCTAGATCCCGACGTAGCTTTCGAGAATTCTTTCCGAGCGAGCGACTGCAAAGATAACGAGCTATCATGACGACCCTTGATGTCATTCCTGAGGATTGGTCGAACATGGGTTCAGGAAAGGTGAAGGGCAGCAGGTGGTAGGTAATTATAGAATACGTCGAGGAAAACCCAAAAGTATGCGAAGACCCCATAAAGTCTTACATGGATGAAATCCAGCGGGCAACCTTGGGCTCGGAGCTAGCTTGCTTGTAGTATCACGATCTGTACTACAATACCAGATCTTTCTAGGGCCTCTATCACTAGCAACTCCGAAAAAGCAACCACCAAATCTATTGAATTCCCGTCTATTATCCCAGTCAGAGTTCAATGTATCCTCCCAGCGAATGTTTAATTTTAGTTGCTAGATAGATTGGATATCTAGATTACTGAGTAGCCTAAGTGGAGTGCTACCCAGTCGTACGGTGTTTCCAGCTCTGATTCTCTCTTTCTCGAACATGAAAAAGTTGGCATACTTAAGTCCGAAACTCGAGAATCGATCATAATACATTCGTACAGAATCAGGGAAGGAATTAATAATTCTGTGCAGGACTCTTTGGTGAGAAAGTACTGCGAGGTATTAGATTTCAGGGCATCTCCTCTTCTCTTCTAGCTTCTCAGGAATGAGCTGAGCTACCGACCGAATGATTGTGAGGTGAATTATGGGAAGTGATGGCAGTGGCCTCACGCAGGGTGCCTCTGACCTGGGAACGCAACCTCCCTCGAAGAGCTCTGATGAACCTGGAACCCGAGTCGATTCTGCGCTGGAGAGTGAGTTGCGGGAAGGTCGGCTCCAGGTCTCGGCGGGAGGAAGGGCTGGTGGAGACAAGATGCGGATGACGAAAGGTCAGTTGGTCATGAGAGGGGATGTGAATTGGGCGGCACAGCTGAGCTCGGGCAGCCGGCCGGCGCGACAGAAGCTGCCGATGCTCTTGCTCGACTCGCTGCTGCTGCTGCTGCCCATCGCATCCATGGAGCTGGGGCCAGGCCACATGGCAGATCACAGGCTCGGGCTGCAACCACCCATGTCCCTGCTGCTCCCGGAATATGCTGCGCTGCCAACTCCATCCATAGGTGAAACAGCAAAGCAGGCACTCAGCTCGTTTACCTCGCCTGCCTCGCCCTGGAAGAGGTTTTGAGGCATGGGAATGAAAAAATAATGCATCGAGGTTGCGCTCTTCGTTTCATGGAAGCGTGGGCCTTTAGAAGGAGGAGGAGGAGGAGGAGCAGGAGGGGGGCCGGGCCGGTGGTGGGGCTACCACCTCCTCTCGCGATGCACTCCACACTCGCCTGGAAAAGTCGGTCCCTCCCGAACCAGCGATCGATTCAGCGAAAAAGCGAAAGCTAGCAGAAACTACTCTCCCTACAGTTCCACCTCTACTGCCTAGTGCCACTGCTCTCCCTGAATCCCAAGGATAAAGAAATTTCACCTCTCCAATTCTCTCCTCTGCTCGAGAGCAAATCTCTTGCAGGGTCCTATTTTTAATCCGATCGGGAATATCTGATTCACTCACTCACTCACTCACTCACCGAGAAGGGTTCGGGTGCCATTAAAAGTGAAGCACACATCTTGCGGAGTCCCAGGTCTGTGGGGCTCACACACGAAGAAAAGTGGAGAGGGAAATTATTTCACCGAGGTCAAAACCGTATAAGGTGCTCCATCAATGCCAATGCTTACCCGACAAAGACGTAACAGATGACTCGGGACACATCTAAGGCTCATAAATTCAGAAGCTGGGGGGTGGTAAAAGCAACAATTTTTTCCAGAGGTCTGGACTTTCGGGTTCGCATGGGCAACAGTGTGGCCAACCAGATTCCGGGCAAGGGGAGAGAAATCACGACTCGAGTTTGTGTCTGGGTATGGTCCACCTTGAACAAGAGAAGTAAGTAATGCTTGAGTGCGGCGGCTGCTCGGCTATATGAATGAATGTCCATGGCTCCGGGAGGGCGAGGGAGGGGGAAAACGGAGGAGGATACTCGGCCAAAATGGACAGAGTGTCTGGAAGCTTGTGCCATCGCTCCCCTACTCGCGGAGAATAGTTCGGCGCCCCTTCAGCTTATCCCTCCTTTTGCTGGCGGGGCCTTCTTCTCCCCACTGAGCCATCCTTCTTCCTCACTCTATTCCCCAGCTGCTATCTCTCCCCCTCAACCTCTGCAGCACCTCGCAGTAGTAGCAGCAGACCGCAGCAGCAAGAACCAGATTCATTCAGTGTGCCCCCTTCCTGCCCCCTTCGCCATTCGTCATCACCAGCAGCATCATCACTCTCCTTCCACTCCCCTCTCTCTCCCTCCCTCTCTCTCTCTCTCTCTCTCTCTCTCTCTCTCTCTCTCTCTCTCTCTCTCTCTCTCTCTCTCTCTCTCTCTCTCTTCCTCCCTCTCTCTCAAACACACTCACACACACACTGAGAGCCAGAGCGCAAGCGAGAGTTCATTCTTCATTTCCTCGCATCTTCTTCGACTATTGCAACTCCTCCCGTTTCCCATCTTCCTCCATCTTTCTCGCTAAGATCCAATTTCTGCCTCTGTTAGTCCTCCCAACCCTTGTCTCTCATAAGACCTCAAAACCCCAGCTGCAGGTTCTGAAGCGAACAGTGACCGTACTTACTCTTCGCTGAGCACGCACGAAACATCGACTGCTGGCCAGTGCTCTCCATCTCCATCTCTATCTCCATCATCGTCGAGAATCGCAGTCAAGTGATCATTCGAGGTGTAAAGCGACCATCAAAGGGTCGTTCGTTTGGAGCACAGAGGGAGTGTCCCAATCCTTCCTTCGCTGCCAGTCCCAGCATCTCACAATAGGGCAGGGCAGTCCAGGGCGTCGAGGGATTCGAGATTGTGCCCAGCCTCGTCGCAGAGGGAGCACGAACCTGGTTTTCCCTTTTCCTTTTTGCGGTTTAAGAATTGCTTCGTGAGCCTCTTTAGTCTTTACACCTCGTGAAGCTCTCGAGGCATTGGCTCCTCCTACGCAGAGTCTGTAGTGTGTGTGTGTGTTGCTCATCGTCCTGCGTCTTCCTACTTTGCGAGCTGGTCCGCCGAAGAGTGATAATTGCCTGCTGTTAATGGATTCCTCTGCCGATTACGCTCGGCGAGTTCGTGCCCGTCCCTCGTCTTCTTCCGCCTCGGACCTCACAGGAGTCACTTCTCCTCAGTACAGACATCACAGCGGGAGTGTTGGAGTGGACCAGCAGCTCCTGGCTCACACGGGGGGATACAGCAATGTGCGCTCGGGAGACATGGGCCTAAGATTAGAGCAGCAGCTCGACACGGTTCTGGGTGTTTCTCAGGACGGTCCAATCTCCCACCTTTCAGCCGAGGCAGCGCAACATTACAATCCCGCAGATCTGGCTGGATGGATCGAATGCATGATTTGTGACATGCAGCCCTCCTCTTCGCAGGCTCAACTGCATACCTCGCAGCAGCAGCAGCAGCAGCAGCACAGCCCCACTCCGACGCATTCATCGTTCGTGTCCATGGAGTCGAGCTTGGATTCCATGGATTCCCAAGCTCCTCTGCAGCCAGCTCTTCCTTCGGCCGCAGCAGCAGCTGTCATGCCGGACATGTACCCAGCGGACGACATCTCGGATTCAATGGCTGGAGCTCTGTGCCCCCAGGAGGACACCGGCGTGGAGGAATCAGGGGTGCGTCTGGTGCACTTGCTTCTAGCTTGCGCAGAAGCTGTGCAGAGGAGCGATGTGAGAATGGCAGAGGACACAGTGAGGCGCATTCAAATGCTCGCAACCCCACAGCGAGGCCCCATGGGCAAAGTTGCAGCTCACTTCGTCGAAGCTCTGGCCAGGCGCATCTTCGGAATCAGTGCCGAGCCCACGAGCGATCCCCTCACCGAGCTGCTGCACTTCCAGTTCTACGAGACTTGTCCCTACCTGAAATTTGCTCACTTCACGGCCAACCAGGCCATTCTGGAGGCTGTGCAGAATCACAAGCGGATACATGTCATCGATTGCAATCTGATGCACGGGCTGCAGTGGCCTGCTCTCATTCAAGCACTTGCCCTGCGACCAGGGGGTCCCCCAATTTTGAGGCTGACAGGAATCGGCCCACCCCATCAGAGCGGCAACGATGTGCTGCAGGAGATTGGAATGAAGCTGGCGCAGCTGGCCGACTTAGTGAGCGTCCAGTTCGAATTCCGTGGGGTGTACGCCCAGAAGCTGGACGACGTGAAGCCATACATGCTTCACGTGCGACAGGGAGAGGCGGTGGCAGTGAACGCCGTAATGCAGCTGCACCGCTTGCTGCACAATGACAACAATTGTGTGCCGGCGGTTCACGAGGTGCTTCAGTCCATGCGCAGTCTGAACCCGAAAATCGTGACGCTGGTCGAGCACGAGGCCAATCACAACAGCCCCGTCTTCCTCGACAGATTCATGGAAGCTCTGCATTACTACTCCACCATGTTCGACTCTCTGGAAGCGTGCAGCAGCTCGTCCCAGAGCTCCGAGCAATTGCTGGCCGAGATGTACGTGGGCAGGGAGATCTGCAACATTGTTGCGTGCGAGGGTTTCGACCGCGTCGAGCGCCATGAAAACCTGGTGCAGTGGAGGCGGCGCATGACCGACGCAGGGTTCCAACTCAGGCACCTCGGCTCCAATGCGTTCAAGCAAGCCAGCATGCTGCTCACGCTCTTCCCAGGGGACGGGTACAGAGTCGAGGAGAACAATGGCTGCCTGACGCTGGGATGGCACAGCCGACCCTTGATTGCAGCATCGGCATGGCATTGTTCCTGAGGCAGAGGGACGAGCTCCCTCTGAGGGAGCCCATCCCGAACTACGAATGAATCACCGCGTACTGTACAGATGAACGACATTGTTGTGACGTTCTTGGGTTAGAAGCTGGTGGAGCAGAGCATGGAAAGAAAGAAAGCCTTCAACCTTCACGAAGATTCAGGGGATGAGAGGACATCTGCTTCTTCGGCTGAAGAGAGGGAGAGAGAGAGAGAGAGCGAGAGCGAGAGCGAGAGAGCAAGAGAGTGAGAGAGTTCTGTTGAAGGGTCTATCATCAGGAAACGGCCATGTTCGGGATCGACTGGTGCTATTCCTGTCAGAGTGAGCAGACCGTTCCCGATTTTGGCCATGTACATGTGACTGAATGACTCAGTCACTTGTGGATACAGGGAGATAATGGAGCTGCGCAGCTACTGAGGATTGTCCGGAGTGCATTGCAGATAGGCTGTCTGTCATGCGTCGTTGAAACCTGAAGAAGGTGTGGCCTTCAAGGTTTTGCACCTGCTCGCATCGAACCTGCTCGAGAAGTAAGGATCATCGAGAACAGAGAGACATTTTGGTCGATGTTGCAGCTCTGTTGCCTAGAAGAGGAGGCACCAAAGGCGCGATAAACACAAACCCCAGATGGGGTCAAGCTGGAGCTGGTGGTGAACACTTGAAGGAAGGATTTCGGAATAAGGCTGAAGCTGTGGTTTGTGCATCGATCCTCAGCGAGGAAAAGAAATCGCAACCTACCTGGGTAGTACCCGAGAGTAGCTTCATCTCCACCAAAGCAGCAGCACATACTGTACTCTTTTAGAATATCTGCCCAATTAGTTCACAATCAAAGCATACATGTAAATCTAATTCGTCATTTTTGTAGCAATATTTACTCAATTCTGAATCGATAGTATGACAATGAGAAAAAGGAGCACTACTCTCCAGTGCTACAACATAGTCCCAAAATTCTTTGGTGGGGAGAAGTTCATTGAAGGATGAACTATCTACCGTATGTATTCTTGGTAACTGTTCTCATATCAAAGACGGATAATTTCATCAATCTCCGCGTCCAACTCTCTGAATATCTTACTCTCTTCACTTCCGTCCTCGCTGAGATGCTCCTCCTTTTGCCTGCCCTGATCTCTTCCGTCCTTGCCTTCATTTCTGACCAAAACGTTTTTTCTGTAAGAAATTTTACCCTCTATGGGATTCGATTCAAAGATCGAGGAGAAGCAGCTGAAGTCAATAACCTCATTGAACTGTTTATAGTATTTCAAACCCAACGAACAGCGAAATTAGTTTTTTATTAATTGGAGTGAACACAGGCCAGTCTCACACAGTAGTAGTCCACAACGGACAGTTCAAACACAAAAGCACGTTTATATGAAAAAAAGGTTTGGCTACAGCAGACTGTGATCACAAGACGATCGAATCTGCTAGACGTCACGGGCGAGAACCTGTTTGTCGGTCTAACTAATTGCCTGACCCCGGAATAAGCACTTCACTGAACATCCAGGTTCTAAAGAGGACGATCAGAAGATCCCACATCGAGTGACGAGGGCTGTACCCGCTTATCTCGTCTGACACTAATAAAATGGCACGTCAACTGAAACTCACAGATGGCTAGGTAAAGCTCACAGATCTCGGAAGTTATAAAAACAGCTTGAAACAGATTGGGGACAAAGGTCCATGCCTCGCGCTTCCTGCAGACTCGGAGGGCTCGTTAAAGCACAATCGTGGGAGCAAACCAACTGAAATTCTGACGAATCACAGGCGTCATTACATTACAACGTGATGAACTGATGTCTTTTCATCGTGAATTCTCACGGCCAGCTTGGACGAAATCCTGATGTCACACCAGGATGTGACATGACACCTCGGACTTGCGCCGGAGAGCACGGAAATCCTCGTCGAGTAAGAAGCAGCGAATGATTGTTGACAGCAGGAAAAGAGTCATGACCCTCCAAATGAGATGTGTCGCGTTCAGCAGTATAACGGGCTGGCGATCCAGTAAGATGCACCGCCGAAAGCTATTTCGTGCGAAAGCGAGGACGCGTCCTGCACCTTTCTTCGTATCATAGCAGAGCGTGCTCTATGAAACTGACGCATAATAACAACAATCCAGGTTGAAGTCGCAACAAATTGCAGCCTTTGCAAAGTATATGTGGTCAACCTGTTGGGATCTTCCTGCGACTATCCGGGTCTCTTAGTCTTCCTGCGCAATTTGATAACAATTTTTCCTGCGCCATTGAAAGAGCGGAGCTCGCGCGCTGTGTTTCATATGGACTTGTCTCCTTGTGAAATGCTCATCTTGAATAGCCCTTTCATGCTGAAGATGAAGGACGACAATGTTGAGGACAAATCTCAGATAGCTGGACAGACGCACTGGTGCAAGCAGTAGTTGTCGTTCCTCGGCAGGGTCAACTCGAGGGTTGATCCAGTAAACCGGAAGTGGTTGGAACTCCATGCGGCTTAATGTTCCCCGGTAGACTGGTAACATGTACAATCTGGTGTCGGAGTCTATCATTTTCTATAAGAAACCAGGGGATGTCAGGGTATCCTCCTTTGCAAGAGATCTCAAATCATTCTCTGGAGACGCTCGCTCATCGTCTACCTTTCAAATCGACCGTTCTCTACTTAAGCGTAGGTTCTGTAAATCATGTCTATGCAAATACGGTCTCCTCAGCAAAACCTTTGCAAAGGGATGGGGTATCACACGGTGCTTTCCTACTGTCGTACACGGATCTCAAATCTTTGTCGTGGCTTCGTGTTTCTAGTCAGGTACAGTATCTGCGGTATAGAAGTTTCACCTTCTAAGCTTGTACCGTCAATGATATAGGGAATTTAAGTTCCAACAGCCAAGTATGACTGATAGAGGTTAAGAATCGCCATATATTTCATTAGGAGTTCCTTGTAGACGAGACGAGGTTCGAAATCGAAATCCTTATGACTTCACGTTTGTTTCATTAGAATTTAAGCTCCATAGTTTAGACCGTAAACCTTTCAGTCTGCGACATACACAGGTTCTCGTAATGGTCGATACATACCTCGATGCTTGTGTGTGTGGAACATCTTCATCGCTCTCCCACTGGCCTAGTCCGAATCCTGCTTCTCCCTGGTTGTCTGGCTCAGATTTCTCCTCTTCTGCGTCTCTCGAGATGTGATGCCAAGGAGGCGAATATTTGGTAGTCGTTTGACCCCTACTGGAACTTTTGAAGTGGTGAGAAGGGAATAGACTCAAACTCGGACTCTGTGACTGGATTCTAAACCGGTTCATTTCCTTTCGGGAAAAAGAATTGGCGCTATAGTTTACGTGCTGCTTGTCTGCTGACCGATTCTTGTCAGTTACAGCTGCATGACTTTCTTTCTCAAGGTCAGCGTCTCTATTTGACACATCTCCTGTATGGTGTTGACCTTTCGTTTGAGGGCTCCTCGGTGTTCTGGATTTGTTCTTTTCTTTCTCTTCGTGCAAAGGCTACACATCCGCAGCGGACACTTCGTAAGTGCTTGCGTGCACAGGATAAAGAACAATTTCGAACAATTGCAAGTTCAGTTTCTGTTGGGGTATGAAATCAGCTGGTTTACATGACAAACAAGAAGTAAACGAAGTATACTGCATCTGCAGTATACTTCGTATACTTCGTCATACCATACTGCTCATACCATCTCTTTATTCGGTCTGGAAGCGAGCATCATAAGCTCTTATGAAATGTGTGTACGTCATCTTAACTCCAATTATTGCAACCAAAACAATGACTAGTGACAAAGGTCAATTACAGTAAAATTAACAAGTTGTAGGTGGCAAAATTCATCCCGGTATACGCAATACGGACCGTGTTATGCTCTTCGTCTTCGTCCTCGGAGGATGCAGATTCCGCCCTTCTACTTGCTCCGGATCGAGAAGTTTGGTCACTTTCCTCCTCAAAGTGAGACTCGATAATCTGAATGTCCCGCTCGCGAACAGCTCTCTATAGTTGACAGAGTGAAAATCACCTTTCTACTATATAGGTGACAATTGTATGATACCAAACCAACATGTTGCAGATCTCAAGAGAACTGAACTCTTTCTAAGAGGGATATACCTGAGTATGCCAAACAATTGCACCTCTTTCATATTCAAGTGACTTTTTCTGATTTGTCTGCAGGGCGCCAGCTCGATGTTTGTTTTGTTTCTCCAAAGCAGCTGTTGCTGCCTGGTAAATTGAATCACTGAGACCACATTCCGTCGATTTGCCAACATCTCAGCTCTCAACAATCCATACTAATGATTGTTCAGTGCACTGAAATTTGAGCTGGTGCCTTTAACTGCTGTTAAAGAATCAGGAAATCGCGAAGTTTAAGAACCTGATGCCTTCAGTGTCACTCGAGAAGCCAAATTTCCTTAGCTCACCTCCAAGTTGCTCATCTAATCGCTGTTTTCATTAGTACAACCAATCAGAAGTGACTCTCTGAGTTAAGGGCATTGATTTCAGCTTGCACAAAAAGTCCTCGTATAACTTTGAGGGCCGGTAGGAGAATGGCTTTGGAATGTAGGAGGCACGCGAAGGTTGCAGATTGAGGCTGATCTACGACGGATGCACTGGATAAAACGTATCATTAGGCCTAGAAGTAGGCACGTTCTTGGGTAGGCTGTCATGTTACCCTCTACTTAAATAAAGACCAAAGCGAATTTAAGAAACTCACATGCACGAGGTCGTCACGTTTGCTTGAGAAAACACTCGGAGGATGCGGATATTTGGACAGCACATGAGGCCTGCAAGATGGAAGATGAAATTGGATTAGTGTCCGTTCACTACGCTAAAATTGTTCATCCCCAATGCATGGTCAGCCATTTTCGAGGCTGTGTACCCACTTCCACCAGCAATTCGTTTCTGATATCTTGTCGAATAGTTAATGGTTTATATATAATTAGGCTCCCATGCTAAAGCCGTGACGTTCGCAAATTCTGACGATGCATCATTAGCTCAATTGAACGGAACGAGGGTACTTCAGCACATTTGAGCGTAACCACCCTCAAATTAGAAGATGTTTAGTTCAAGGTGAGCGCTTTCTTGCCGCTGAGGGATGGGCTTGAAAGGGTGTTCTTGGAGCCACTTTTCCTTCTCAGAGACAGGGATGCCAGGGCCATCCTCCCCTACGTCCATGCTGGCTGCATCCACGATTTCTGACAGTCTTCTGGCCTGCATAGTGCGCATTCCACAAAATCCATATCTGAAGAGATGGTCTTAATTCAACTTGAAGAATTGAGCATGCTGCAGGAAAAAGTGAAGGCCACCTGGAGTTCAGCTCCGGTGCACATTGTCCCTATACTTGGAAATCCAGATGAAGTTCAAAACTGTTGTCTATCCAGGGAGCCTTAGTTATACATAGTTACCAGGTTGCTTGAGGTTCGGGATATCTGTTGTGCTGAATCGACATGAAAGGAGAAGAAACTACTGTAGTTTTTTTAAATCTCTCAAATGTGATGTGAGTGAAGAGGCAACGCTCAGCTGGAGAGAATTAAGTTTCTCACGCTTGTTTTCACTTTCAAGAGTGCTCTGAGGACGCAAAGATGGTAACAAGGAGCCAATCGAAGAGATGAATGTATTTTATCCGAGATGTCAACTTCGTTTCAACCATTACAATTTTACACGCCTGTCACGGGACGCTTTGTACTCACCTCCTCCTGTTCAGTCTCCTTTGCAACTCTTTCTTTCTCCTTATCTGCTTCTAACCTTCTCTTCTCCGAAGCCGTGCTTTCTTTCTGCACGCAAAATTTGCCTTCCTGTAAGCGTAGGTAATTCAACAAATTGCGAGAATCAACTCCCCTATGAGGAATAGACCGCGACTGGTGGCTTTTACATTCGGGCAATTCTGAGTGGTTCCGCTCAGTCCTACCGTTTGGTAAACTAAATACACATCGTTATAGCACTGACAGTTTCTTATGGGCGAGGCCGACTGTGTATAACCTCCATCAAGATCCTGAGATATCATGGTGAATCCGCAATCATCTTTGTCTAAACCAACGACAAAAAAAATCAAAACTCTTGAATAAACACTTTGCAAAAATGTGCCAGTTCGATTCTTGAATGACTTAAAGATGAGTGAGCTCACTGTCTTCTTCAGCTCATTTCTCCTTGGGGCGGCCCCCGAGGTAGAGAAAAAGAGGTCCAAAAGCTTTGACCGCATTGCGAGCTTGAATTCGAAGAGAATGTTTGGTTAGAGTTACAATAGCCGATATACTATGGATTTCCACGTCGTTTCATACGGCACCTGTGACGAGGTCAAACAAAGTGCAATTTTTCCTTGCATATCATCTGAAGTCGCCTGATCGGGACATTGCCTCGAATCATGATGTCCACAGGGTTACAATTTCGTCGTCCGGTCAATCCATCTATTGTCTTAACAGAAAGATAGCTGCGAAGCCTAGAAGCATTGACGCTTAGAAATTTTCTTGAATTTCAAACTGCCCCTGCTTGGATCCAGTTTCGTCGCTTCTGTTGTAGTGCAGAATTTTCTCCTCGAACATCAAATCAAATAGCTTGATGAGCAACGATGTATCTCGAAGATCAGACCTTCGGAAAATTATGTGTTTCAGACGTCCCGGATGATCCTTAACATCAAATTTCCCAATGCGAAAGTCTTATTGCTATGCAAGCGCTCAATTGTTGTAGCATTGAATCCCGCCTCCGCCAACTACGTTACTCGTCTTCAAGATTGTCTTCAATTACTAGCGATGCACTCTACGTTGTGAAAATAAAACCCACTGGGAAAAGGTCCATCTGTGACGTCAGAACTAAAGGCAGTGACTTGGGTTAAGAAGAGATCATCCCAGACCAACACGGTGATATCAACGACTGCGCACAATGTCGGAAAAGATCTCGGATGTCTTGCTTGCTCGCGACGAGAGACATAGACCTCCAGCAAATTCCAAGCGTGAGATATAGAAAGATCCGTTCCTAAATCTATAGAAAGTCCACGTAGGACTCTGCAGATTCTTAATAAGATGGTCAAAAGTCTTCAACTTGATGTACCATCCTTCAGAAAAGAGCAGGTTGATTGAATTCCACGGAGTCCGAATTTTCTTGCACTTCTCAGCAATCCCAAAATCATTTTCGAGGGTTTCGCTTTCTGCAATACTGTTTTTTTACGCTGATTTGCAGCCTCGGCTTATGGGAAAGACCAAAAATCGAGGCGCATACTGAGTGGAACGCGAGAGAAACAAAATAGGGCTGTGGTCGAGTAGACCGTCTCGAACCGCATCAGTATAGAATATTAATATAACCCAGTCTAAGTACTGTATCACAGGAGAAGAGGTGAATTGCCAAGATGAGCACCTGCTGAGTAGGCTTCTGTCGTCCAGCCGAATTGACGTCCTCTCTCCTCATCTTCTTGACTGCTCCTACCTTTCCAACCTCTTCTCTTCCTACTCTGCATTGCGCAAGCAGGAAAATGTACAATTTTTACTGCACAACAAACATTGCAGATTTCTGTCAAATAGCTGGAAATGATGGTCGCGATTAATCCCAATTACCTCTTCTCCTCAGCACGTGCGAGATCGAGTTGAAGATCTGCTTTAGCTGCTCCAAGAATTTCCTGGTCAGCTGCTTTCAACCGAACCTGCGCGATGTGGCAAGGCATAGTGCGTCCATGGCTTCGTCCATGAGTTTCATGCAGAAGTTTCCCATCTTCTTGGGGCTCGTAGAAACAAAAGCAGTTCCTTCGACGGTCCAACTTCTCACTTGCGCTCAGTCATCACGTACAACAGTAATGGACTTGATAGGGACGCTTTGAGCATATGCTTACGAGACTTGACACGACCCACACAATTACATGTAAGATGGCTTGTGGTTGATTCAGCAGTGCTTTCTCGAAAACTGAAACATTGGAAACTGAATAACTGATTGCTGAATATTGGTGTAGGCATTTTTTTCCCGGTGCCTATACCATTCGCAGATTTTCAGAAAACAGAAAATGCCATCTTGAGAGAAGAAAAGCTTGATAGATTAAGGAATCTGAGTTCTGGAGGTCGCTTATGAGATCTCAAAATCATTTTTTTTCAAGTTTTAGGAACGAATTTCAACCTCGTGCTTCCTATCTACATGAATCTCACCAGTTCGTAACCCACAATGCTGTTTTCAGTTAGTTAGTAGATAAGGATTAAAAGCTTATAAATGCATGTACTGAAAATGCCAGCGAGGTCTCACATACCTGTTTGGATGCTACTGAGTCCTTCCACACTTTAAACTGCCCTGAAAGGGTGGCATGCTCATCGCTTGGGCCCCTTTCGGGAAAGCGGCATTGCTACACAAGCAAGTCCAAATGCCAACTCCCCGATGAGTGCCGTTGTTAGGACATACTTGTATGTTGTCTATCAATTGTTAGACCTTTTGGATCCAACCTCATCAGAACTGCCTAACCTGGTTTCAAACCTAACCATTGCATGGTCCTCTGAGATCAGGATTTGATGCAAAACATATCCATTTCCTACAAGTAAAGATGCTGAAAACACATCGACTCCTCCGAAACGCACAAGGCACATTTGCTGGTCCAGATTGTGAAGCTTGACGTACCTCATAGTGTCTATTGCTTCGCTGCGTAGGGGTTGAGGAGCTCGAGTTGTCTTGTCTATTCGGCAATCTGGATCTCTCAGCTTTGCTGCTCTGATCAACTCGCAGTTTCTGTGCCCTCTTTCGTTCGGGTGATGAATGGTAGTCTTTCAGTTTTTTGTTCTTTCTCTGTTTTTCTTCCATTCCCCTCTTTTCAGGTGAAGATGATCTGTGATATCTCTGGTGTTTCCGACGAGTCAGCCTGCCTCTCCCTCCTGTTCCCTCAGTTGAAGATCTGTCTGAAGACTCCCCATTCCTCATTAGCCGATCTTGGCTATCCGAAGTTGTAGAGGATAGCATGTCTTGATCATGAAGAACTTTACCCTATCAATCGCACATACTTGCTAAATGAACACAATTTCGTCTCAAGAACAACGGTATTCCAGAGGGCAGAGAAATCCTGCTTACGAAATAAAGGAGAACACAAACTGATAACTATATGCCGTTGTGGGGAGTAGTGGCCCTTCCTCTCAGCACCTCTTCTTTACTATTGTCTATTAATTAAGGGAATGTATTTTCCAAATTCCTCTTGCATTCTTACACCCCAAATAAACAGTGAGGTGTATCACACTACTTGGGTTGAGGTGATAAGTGTCTGCAAGACCCACGGCATTACGGCATATGACTACAAGTAGCTACGCTGCGGGCTTCTTCGTTATTTCAGCTCTGCATGTTTGCAATGTAGTTACTCTCTAAACTTACAGGGTTTAAATGAACGTATTTCGAGAGTAACTACATTGCAAACATGCAGAACTCAAATCCTGGCATAATGAAGAAGCTTTCAGTGGCCCGTGCACCACTAATGTCGGTGGAGAGTAATTTGTTAGCTCCTGCCGTAGCGTTCATTTGAAAGTGACATACTAATTGTTCAGGGCATAGTAAGAATCTGTGCAAAATTACTTTCGCGAAAGATAAGACAATCACCGCTTTCCCAAACGTTGTTCCTTGGTGGTGTTCCCCTGACTAGCACAATAACGTAGTTAATAAAAAACAAAAACAAAATAAAAACTGGAAAGTAAGATTGTGCGACAGAGCAGCCACGGAACAATAGTTGAGTAGATTCCAGACAATATTGCCATGCCAACGAATGAAGGAAAACAAGTCTTTGGGGAACACAGAGTAAAGATATTAATTCATGTGCTGAAAACTATAGACAATCTGAACATCATACTGACTCAACTCAAGTTTCTCTGCTCTGTTAGCTTCAACGCATCCTACATTTCAAACTCTTTGCCCCTGCCAACGAAGCAAGAACGAATTTTGAGGCCAAAAAGTCTTTGATAACATACAAATGCTGCTGCAAAACATGGCTGACCTTTATATTTTTTCGACTAGCTGTCACTTTTCTTTGCTTCTTTGCCTTCAGCAGAGAGACCTGCAGTAACACACAATCTTTGTCGATTCCTTATAGCGCAAAGAGAACAACCTTGATCCCAAAAGAACAAAAGACTTCTCTTAGACCTACTAATGCAGTATGAGGACTAATTTCGCAGAACGCATACATATGAAGGTCAGGACTCTATTTGTTTCAAGCAATTGAAGCTGCTTCAGCTCTTCTTACACAGGAAACAAATGAAATGCTACCACAATTATTGACAGTGGCATATGTCAAGGTTAGCAAATTGTACTGAATTTATTTGCGACCCTTATTCCCAAGAGATAGTAGCTGCCTTCATGGTGTGTCTCAAGCCAAAATAGTGCTATGGCTTCGTAAATCTTCTGTAATTTCTAAGTCAGAGCAGACAAGCTTCGTTCCTTTAAGCATCTTCCCTTCGACAACAAGAGATTTCACAAGAACCTTAATTTTAAGACAATAGAACAGCCAAGCCGAGCATGCTGTTCTGGATTACGAAGGAGTTTGAAAATAGTTAAGTACCTCAGATTTAGTCGATTCAAGCTCCTTCGTCAAGTTTGATTTTTCCTGCAAGGTAAGCATGTGCACTGGGATTCAGGATCCACTGAAGGGTGAGTACATCCCGCAGTTTTTGCTACTTCTCAGTTATAGATGAAGCCTTAAGAGATGAATACTCTACTTAAAGCAAGAACGGCATTACCTCAGTAAGGTCTTTAACCTCTCTTTGTACTCTTTGGAGCTGATCCTCCAACTCGGTTAACTTCTGCCAATACACTGACAACCGACAAGTTACAACTTACTAATAGCGACTGACTACGCGTAAAATATTTGCAAGAAGTATAGTAGATATTGCTCCCACCTCCTGCAGATGTCCTCAACCAAGAAACAGTTCTAAACTCACGTGCATCTTTCACCTATTTGTATTGATGCAGTGGTACTAGCGTTAGATGACGCAATAAGTAGTTCACAATAGCGGTGACCGAAGGGATTTTTGTACCTCTTGTGTCTTGGTCTCTTTCACCTTCTGTTTGATTGAACCCCCATTTTGTCTGGTAGACTAACGAAGCCTCCACAACAATTCATACTCAGGTCAGTAGTAGTTCTCCTGAATGTTTATGGGAATAAATTTCATGAAGATGAGTCACCAGCATGAGTAGAGTTACTGGTTTCATTTTCAATTTCGATATCTCTTTTGGATTGTTCCCAGTGACAGAAGCTCTTGCGACGATGGTCTCTGCCTAGGTGAAAGGACACAAGTACTTTCCTACGATCGTTCCTTCACGTAAGCAGTGCTCTACCTCCTGCTGATGTTGACCGTTGTATTTACGACAATAATATCCTGAAAATCTCTACGAGAATCTCTTCTTGAGAAAGCTAATTCAGAAAATCTCTTTCAAAAAGCCGAAGTGACAAAGTCAAAATTGAAAACTCACCGTCAGAGGGGAGCTCTGGACTCGTGTTTGAAGTAATTCTAGTTTGTTCTGTATCTCCTGAACTTTGGAATTGCTTTCTTTGAGACTTGCTTGCAGAGTAGCAATCTACACCAATAGGCGAGTAGTAAGATACTGTCTTCTGAACTGTCTCAAACCATACTATATTCGCTTCTGCGAGTTGATTTAGTCTTTATACAAGAGTGTAAAAATATTCGGCCTGACGGCGATTATTTTGTCATTTAAGTTTCCTGCGAATTCAGATTAGAATGTATGGTGCACCTGAAACTGTGCTGCTGCTTCGTTCCTCTGTATTTCAGCCTGCAAAAGAGGACAGAGTTCTTTCAGTTAGAATGACTCTTCGTAAGTTTTCTATCCAAAGCTGAGTAGCAGACTCGAAGCTTTGTGTACGCGTTTGTTTGTAAAGAGAGAAGCATCGAAGAGCAAATGTGGATGGATTACAACTTTTACTAAGGTTAAGCAAATATTTAACGATTTATATATGCAAGTTTCCAAAGAGGTGGGCTGCAGTCTTGTGAAAGTAGGATCTTATCTTACTTTCGCGATACCAAGTATCTCTCACACCTTACAAAGGCGAGAATGGTTACAGCTTTGAAAGTTTGCACATGCTGCCAGTAAACTAGAAGTCGGAATGCTCAAAGATTTGCGGAAAATGATGGACCGAGAAATATAAACACCTACTTTAAACCTTGTCAAACAGTCAAGAGTTCTGTTTTGTAAAGTTTCTTTCCACCTAATGGAGATAAATTCAGTTTCATGTAGATTGCCTTAGCCGGAGTTACCGTGTCCCATGCGTTCTATTTCCAGATTCATGGAGAGTTCTTATCAACAGGATTTTCTCTACCTTGTATGAATAATCTATGCTACTATATCAAGTAGGCCTGCTTCAGATGTCTGAATTCCATAGCTATCTTCTCTTCTCCTTGAACGGCCAGTAAATTGCAAGTAACTAAATAACTAAACAAGGTGTACCTGGGACAGGGAGCGTAACTGCTGAATCTCGACTTGAAGAGCTGCTGTGGTTTCAGCCTTCACCTGCTCCACAACATGAAGAAGCTTAAAATTACCTTGGAATACTGTTCTGAATACTCTTGCTGCTAGTCAGGTATGACTGATGTCATAGCTGACTATCAGTGTCAGCGAGGGGATCTCAGTGACGCTTTTATCTCACGCCATCTTGCGAGTAAGCTGACCTACCCTGATGTAACGTCAATGATCTAGAAGTCATACCAATTCAGTTTTTAGACCTTACAATTTCTACCTTTCGACAGGACATATAAGCTCTACATAGTAAGGCATCCGTCTAATCACAGATACTAGTCTGATCACAAATCTCTTTAAAATCTGTTACTTCTGTTGAAATTACTATCTAAAGTATAGTCTTTAACTTCCAGGTCCAGAGATACCGTGGGTAACCAGGCAACTGAACTCACACGAGCAGCAGTTGCTTCCTCTGCCTTTGATACAACAGCCAGAATTTTGTCTTCAGGCATGTCATTTGATTTTGGATGCCGTCTTGCAACGTGAAGATCCTGAAACAAATTACAGAGCCAAATCGAGGATTTTCAACAACTCTGAAATATCCGAAAAGGCCTGGTTCTTTTGAGTGAAACTAGTGTGGCAACTTTGGTATTAAAGGACACAAGCTCATGGAGCCTCTTCAAACCCAGAGCTAACTCTTTGCACTCCTCGTAGCTATGAGTACAATTGCGCCCGTATCTTATATCCAAAGCGCTGTTGTCAAGTGGTTAAGATAAGTGATATCACACCTCACCAATATTGCAGGAAATCCCCTACCACTATAACACCACCAGAAGTGCTCGTCTTGTCTCCAGTAAATGGAGTTTATGAGCACACATATTGGCATTCTAAGAAAAGCTACCAAGCCCTTATTGAATCACTCATACTGCTATTGTCTCATAGTCAGTAACACACAGTAGGAACAGGCAAGTAAGGGACAACAAAGGAGAAAATACACAAATTCAGGCTAAGCAGACGTGCTGGGAAGGAACAAAGTGAAATGTCGAAAGGTCCTACAGATCAATAGCGGCGACAAAGGATTAGAAGAATTTATCTTACCAGATAGTAAGATGACTCGAACAACTTATCACACAAGGGACAGCAGCGAACCTGCAACACTTCATTCAATTTGGATTGATCAACGTCAACAATGAGAACAGATCGAATTTGCATCGTGGGATGAATACAATGTGAGACAGTTATTCAGCACGTATTGAGGGGCTAGGAAGTTGCAGAAGATTACCATTTGTTGTGTTACTGACTGCTGTTGTTGTTGCTGTGATTGTAGCTGTTGCTGGTTTTCTCCCTGTACTTTCAATATTGCTTCGTAGATGCGCAAAGTCTGACGAAATGAAATCAGAATTACATTGTGTGAACGAGGCCTTTAGTTTTTAAAATTCACCGTACACAACATCAAGGACTCGGCAACTTGCAGACTCTTCGAAACTAGTTTTCACGCACTGACTAGTTCACTTTGTGATAGTCAGACTTCAAAGTTGGCAAACAGTGACTTTTATGACAACAAGGGCTACTAGGCAAAAGTAAATATTGATCTATGATATACACTGCGCGGTGCTTCCAATCAGCAGTGAGTCAAGATGTTTCTAAAAGTTACCTTCTTGGCTTGTTTCAGATCGTGACGGCATTGATTTAAATCAATCAGAAGCTTGGCAAATTTTTCTCGGTGCTTCTCCAGTCGACGTTGAATGGTTGTACCGTCTGCCAACAACTGGGATTTGTGTCCAGCTAATAATTCCTGGACATGTAGTAAGTACTCAACCTGCAACACAGGCCCCACACTCGAACATTAAAGGTCAAAAGAAACTAGAAGGGACCTACTGTGAATGATTGAATTTGTGCTCTTGATACTACGCAAGATAGCTCATAGCACGAAAAAACCATTTTCGAACCCTAAACAATGCCTGGATCTCGTGAAATCCACATCATTTGGATTTCACGTGATAAAATCAAAGGATAGGCGGATATCTCAAAAACTGTTTGAGAAATGTAAGGGTATTGCTTTGTTCCCTTTTCTTTGACCTGCCCAACAACTGGTAAAGATTATGTGGAGAATAATTACCATGAGCTGCGCAATTCGAAATATTTTGACGAAATTAGCCTCTGTGAAGTTTCGGGTGTCTTCCCCTTGTATATCACCAAACGCTATTGTATCAACGACAGCTTCTAATGTGTCGAGGTCTGCAAGAGCAAACGTTACGAACGCTCATCTGTTTGTTGCTCGAGTATGGAGGGTGTAGTCAATCGACTATAACGTGACAAACCCGTGAAAAGATTCGTCCATTCCAGATCCATCAGCATAATTAATCTTCAAATGTCCATGTAAAGTGAGGTTAGGGACAATCCCAGATGTTCAGTGTAAATATTAGCACGATAAAATCACAGAGAGATGTAATTTTAGGCGATTGAGATCAAGGCTACTTGAAATGCGTATTGCTTTGCGTTTACTCTCTTTACTACCCATAATCCAACTTCCGTCTTCTCTCGAACACTGCTACTGGGATATCACAGTCAGAAATCAGTGAGTTTAAAGGGGGTCTCTTGGAATGCTGTCGCCCAGAACTGAAGGCTTTCCAGTCTTCTTCTGGCTCTTTGTTCATTTGGTAATCCGAAGACAGCACTTTTGAGAACAGTAACGTGCTTGGGACGTACATTTCAGACTTTCGAGTTGTGGCATGAAGTCTGAATATTCGCTACGTACCTACTTCCCGAACAATCTTGTCAACGTCAATCGTGTGCAACTTGCGCCAGTCAATCCTAGTTAGTCTCTTTTGGAAAACAAATGGAGGAGATCTTAGCGAGTCTTCCATTTTGGTAAAATCAGGAGTAAGTTTCCCTTTCTTCTTCCCAACTGTAAGCTTCTCCTTATAGCCTTCAGCCACGCTTTCAGTGGCAGATGTCGAGGAAAGTAGACCAGGCCAGTCGTGTACCCCTCCATTGTCCACAACAACAGTGCTAGCTGAGCCAGGTTTTCCTGATGCCTCTTTGTTAAGCTTCTTCTTTCGTATTTGTCCAAGCACCGCCTTCTTCTTACGAGCACGAGTGGCAGCAGGTTTGGAATTATCGAATGACTTTAGAAATGGATGCTCAGCTTCGTCAAAACTTCCTTGGGTTGTGCCAGTTCCCCCTGAGTTTACATCCTCCATGATTCTCATCTACCAGGAATGTCACATGCGAAAGACGACGGCAAGCGAGCATTAACGAATGTTTGCTACACCAAAGCGACCCAGAATGAACGCGTCTCGTGACATGCTCTTCCAACGTGCTCCTTGTATCGTTTCATAGCTGCGTAGAGGTACTGCGCAATCATAGTCTTCACGATTCCGAATTTCATCGTCCGGCAACAAGATCCTTCTCTCTTCACAAGCTTCTACGACTTCCACGGCAGAGGGAGAGCGCAAGCCAATCCTCTCCGAAAGATTTTCGAAGTTTGAAGACACCGAGAACACGATGATGTTTTCTCAAAATGATCGAGAATCACACATCTCAATCACATTCACCGCCAATTCTACAGCAGCACGTTACCAGAATAACACGTGTCGATGAAACCTCGGTAAAAGGCTGCAAATGTGATGTGCTCAAGCTAAGGAAAGCGCCCGAGGCATCGAAAAGGATTAGAGTGAGTTTCTACATCACTCGTACTCAATACGAGTGACCATAAGGAGGTTATGCACATTACGCATCCCCGTTAAGCGCCACAACCAGTTCGTTGTGGTCGAGACTGGCAATTGGCAACCGGCAACCAGTGACCACAATTACGACCAAACGGCCCTCACGATTATGCTCCGGAGGCCGTTCCTGCCCTGCCCTCGAAATCATCAAGGCATCAGAGCGATTCGCAAGTCCAATCCTCAAGCATTCTTACAACATTCGAATCACGACCACCATGCGAGGGCCTCGACGGGCGACCTCGGGAACCATCGACTTCGGGACCACGAGCCTCAGACGACGAGAACGGACTCGAGACTCAGCCAAACGGAGAAAGAGCCCAATTAGAGCCAAACGCTCGTCTTAAGGCCGCGTTGTTATAAATAAACCTTGTCGGGACAGGGTTAATGACCGGGCCAACATCGGACCGTCGCGATGAAGTGTGCGGTCGATCTGACCGTCCACAGTAGGTTGGAGGGGCGTGATTAGCGTGGTGGATGGATTATTATGCCGTGATTAGCATAAGCGAGCACTTGACGACCGGGAACGGGCTGCCAGTTGATGGTGTCATGAGTCGGGCGGAGGTGAGGGGAGGCCTTTGCGATCGGTGTCAGAGAGAGGCTGCGAGGGAGAGGGAGAGGAAGGAGGACTGAGGCAGAGGAAGGATGGCGGGGCCTGCACCGGCATGGAGTTCGCGGCTCGCGATTCAGTTGGTTCGAGGCCTTCCGGGCACATTGCATCTGCATCGTCGCACGGTTCGCGCTCTAGGTCTGCGCAAGGTGAACCAAATTGTGTTTCGCGAGAATTCCCCGACGATTCGGGGCATGATCAATCAGGTTCAGCTGTTCTCCTTTACTCTGCTCTTCTTCATTCTCTGCAGCGCATTTCGTGCATGTTGTTGCAATTCGTGCATGCTTGGAAGCTTACGAATGACTTCGCACATGGCGTCGATTGTTGTGATCCGAGAACCTTGTCTTTGTATGGAATATGATTTGAGGTGATGAAGGTCGGGAATGTTAATTCTGTCCTTTAAGTGTGTCAAACTCTGTAGAAACTCTCGATCAGCTCAATCTTTCGTTTTAGGTGTGAGAATTGCCTGGTGTTTGAGTGAAGAAGGAAATGCAGTGAGTAACCTCGGTCTGCAAATAGATTTTATACTTTGCAATTAGATTTTTGTTTCACTTTGGATGTGAGGATCAGCTTCGTGGATACAATGTAAAGGTTGGATCGTTTGAAAGCGTAAACCGCGAAGTGGTCTGGTGGATTTCATGAAGGAATTAGATTCGTAAGAGCTTTTGATCAGAATCTCTGTTGCATCATCTGAATTAGGACATCTGAATTAGGGTTACATGATCGGAGCTGATTGCCTCGAATGGACCCGCATGTTGGGTTAATAGTAGTGGTGACAGGGAGGGAAGATCACGGTCATGGAGTAGCTGGTCTTGTGAAGGTTGCTCTTGCCCGCCAATTGATTTCGAAAAATGTCTTCAGATTTGATCGCATTACAATCAAGGAGTTGCATTAGCCTACTTGTGACGAGGAAACAAGAGAACCATCCGAGACTTCATTGTGCCTTTGTGGGCAAGATACACCAAACTTCCTAATGGCTGTCCATGTTGTAGAACCTGAGTCTGACACTTCGTGATTTCCTCGTGTTTTGTAAGGTAAAGCGCCTGCTTTCAGTGGAAACAGAGGAAATGTATAAAGCGAGACTACAAGCAGAGGCACAACATCTGGCTCAACGACCTCCCATCGTCGTCAATCATTCTCCACCTTCTCCGTCTGCTAGTTGAATTGGCTGAATTGTACGGTGGACAGACCACTCATGAAGATTGACAGTCCGATTCAAGGAGCTATAGGAACAGAGAGTAGATAGTTGAGCCTAGCTCATATATAACCCTTTTTCTGGGTTGAAGGTACCCCTTCGCAGCGATCAGTCAATCTGGAAAGAACATGCGTACGTTTCGCATACGAGTAGTCAGGATGATTTATCTTCATCACGGCACGGTAGCGAAAGGATAGTACGAGATGGAGGCTGTACCAGTAGCTTGTATTGCTGTGGTTATCGCTTAAGAACGGTCGTTTGCATGCGGGACTACAGCGTAGATTGAAATTCTTACTTCTGTCACCAACCCTGAACAGGGGCTCTTTTTGCATCATATTCGGAGAGTTCGGATCACTTCGTTGTAAAGTTGCACTGTTTCATGTCTGCATCGCGTATGACGACGCGTAGACGCATGCACGCATCGTCATATACGCATATGGATCATTTTTTGAGCTGGAACTATCATAGTTTTAAAGGTCTCGAATCTCATTGTCAATGCAGAAATGACTTGCGAAGATTCCTATGCCAATTGCTGTCCCTGCTCTGATCGTGGAGCATGTGAGATGGAATTTGCATCGCGACGATCCCTATGCGAATTGGCGTTCACACTCACTGCCCCAGGAGTAGGTGCGATAGATCTCACTAGCTACACGTTCTGTTTTGCTTTTGGACGTCAGCAATACACAGGAGGTGCATTGGACTGTACACAATTCTTCACTAAGATTCAATCGTGTTATCCGATATCGACAAACCAGATAATTGGAGCCATGGATGCACTGAATCTTACGAAACTTGCACCTTCATCCCTAAGTGAACGCTTTTCAACGTATCTGCCATTGAGCTAGGGCATACAGCTGAAAACACTGAAGGGTATTGAACAAAATTCTGGACCGCCGAGCCGCATCATTTCCTAGAATCGGCACAATGTTCGATCCACCTACAAAGTAAGCAGCCACTTACGTCAGACATACCTGTATTACTCGAAGATTGTAAAGTCACAAGGGACAAGACTGTGTACCTCGTGACTTAATTGGTTAAAGAAATGTCCAATGCAAACCCTTGTCATCGCTAAAGACGCCAAAGGTGTCAAGAGCCGCTGTCCACCAAAGCAACAAGCTCGATAACGACAAGCATTTGTTGGACGCACTGGACGGTGAACCGAGGTTCAACCATTCGCCAATCTACTACCAGACCTTAGGCAAGGAAGTTAAACGACAGTATTAATAAACCATCCGGTTTAACAACAGCATGGAGTCAAAGTCATCGAGACCGGTAGATGGGACCACTTCCTAATCACGAAAGCCCAGTGTGGGTCTGAGTATAATTCACTTCTTCTGATGTGCAAAGGTGGATTCAACGCCTCAGGAGGTTCGATCTGCAGGTCAGTTGCAGAGGTCTGATGAGCACAGAGGCTCAATGAAGACAAAACGACATGCATGACAAAAGTTGACGGTGGTCAAGACAACTTGCACACACTGGGCATGGTCATCAGCAGAGCATTCTGCGCATAAACTATTGACAGGGAGTTTCGGCAACAGTTGAGGTGGGAAGACGAAGGGTTTGACACGGCCTGATTGAGAATCCAGTTTGACCAGAGAATTCTCAATGAGTCTTAAGATCTCCAGAGTGAGAAAATCACAAGAAACTAAATCTGTGTAACAGAATCTTAGCAGATAGAAGTCTTGGCCATACACAAGCATCCGATGATGCAACAGATTACCAAGCATCAAGAGAACTGAAAGTACACTGTCATTTATTCACCCAGAGCTTCAAGATTGAAGCTGCTTGTTGCATTGGACCGGGAGGATGTTTCACAGGCTTTGAAAATTGGTCCAGGATAAGCATCCCAGCAAACTTGGTCACATGACTGTCAATGATGTCTAAGAGGGTAGAGAACAAGGTGTCTGAAATCCAAACCCGGCAGCATCAGGCATTGGGCTGTAACAGAAGTTCATCATTTGTATGTGAGAAACAAGCAGAAAGAAAACGAGTGTGGCTATAGAACAATGACCGTGGCCCACACTAATTCCCAATCGTTCTGATGCAGCTGCGCAGCAGCGTGGGAGTATTTACAAAACTTCTACAGCGGTCACAAGGAAACTTTAGAAGAAGAGATCGACAAGCCTCTGAACTATCGCCTTCGAGGGCAAAAAATGTGTGGTCTCTTCACGAGTGGAGAGGAGAGGAGGAGGAGAGCAGAGCAAAGCACCCAGTGGGGTCCGGATCTTGGAGATCAGAGAGCAGACTTGTAGTTGTAGACTCCACGCCCAGTCTTCCGTCCGAGCCAACCTGCATCGACGTACTGAACAAGTAGAGGAGACGGCCTGTACTTGGAGTCTCCAAGACCATGATGCAGAACTCGCATTATAGCCAAGCACGTGTCCAAGCCTATAAAATCGGCCAAAGCCAACGGACCCATGGGTTGATTTGTGCCCAATTTCATGCCCATATCGATATCTTCAGCGGTAGCAACACCTTCCTGAAGAGCTATGAAGGCCTCGTTGATCATCGGCATCAAAATTCGGTTGACCACAAATCCTGGATAGTCCCGCGAACAAGTCACTGTCTTTCCAAGTCTGCACATAATCGTCATTTGAAGTCAACCTAGTGCCCCAACAGATCTGACGTAGCACCTCACAAGCATGTGGTATATCCAAGCACCGGGGGATAAAAAAAAATCAGTAATTCGAGACTGGCATCTGTATGTCCTCAATCAGCTATTCTTACAAACTTACGACTAGACAAATAGATTGAAAAATCCATTCAGCACGACTCTTCCAGTTAGTTAATATTGCGTTTATGATCTTCAGGCTGTGACAGGCACCTACTGAAGGGGTACGGTCTTATCAAAGATAGGCAAAAAAAAGCTTCCATCGTGTTGTGTTGCATAAGCTCCCAAAATTCTTTCGGCATTTAAAAAACGTCCAATCCAGGACACTGGCTTGGCACTGAAGCAACGACAATTCTCTACATAGGTTTTGAAGCATGTCTGAAATGAGACATCAATTTCACAGGTTGCATCCGTTTCTGCATCGGTGAAACAAGCTAGGACTTTGCTCGAGTCTTAGGTTCTATCTACTTTTTAGAAATAGAACCTATGATGAACCTTTCCTGGCAAACTTGCTTCTCTTTTAGTATCCCACTTGGTCTCTTTTAAAAAAAGAGACCAAGTGGGATACTAACAGAAAAGCAAGTTTGCCAGGAAGAGCGACCATTGGCTTGATCTGCCACGAGATGAATTAATTACCTTTGGGCAAGCTCACGAACTGTGTTGTAAACAGCTTCGTCTGTTTGCAAACCCCGGATAAGCTCGACAAGTTTCATGAGAGGAGGCGGATTCATAAAATGCATGCCCACCACCTGCGTGCAACAAAGGAGGTGACATTCAGAAGACGGATTGAATGACTGGGACTGAGACGCGTGTCCTTGGTGAACACCAATAAATAAACCGTACAAATAATATGCACTCGGTGGTTCTCTACTGCATGCACAAAATTCAGTGTTTCAGGACTGTAAACAATTCATGACGGTCTAGACTCGGAGCTGAGTCGCTGCTTCTCAGAAGCTAGAAACCTGCTGAGGCCTCTGTGTAAAAGAGGCGATGCGTGTGATAGAGATGGAGCTAGTGTTGGACGCAAGAATGGCCGAGGGCTTCACGACTCGATCCAGCTCAGAGAAGATTCGTTTCTTCAAATCCTCGCTCTCTGACACGGCCTCAATAACCAAGTCTGCATCTCGCAATTCACTCAAAGACACAGTGGTCTTGATACGGCCCAGAGTCGCATCTGACTCTTCCTGCACAAGCAGACAGCAGACAGAATGTTGATGAGTCAAGGGAGAGGCAGAGCATCTTCTGAGAGCAGCGCCGGTTGCTCATCTGTGGGCTTAGCGGAGAACTGATTCGGCAACAACTTATTAGAACCAGCCTAAACAGCAGCTCACGGAGAGAGAATGCTACCGAAAACTGCGTGTGACCCCAACACAAGCCAGGAGCTGAGTTTAATAAAATACATCGGAGGCTGGTTGCACAGTGGGCCTAACAGCAGCAATGAGAGCCAGCCGTAGCTTCGAAAGAGTTCGGAAGAGGCCACATGAAGGTAGAGAAGAGGGGAGTGCCATGGGCTGAGGTTTGAGAAGGCGATAGGACTGACAGCAGCATCATAAATGCTACGCCACAAGCGTCCGAGGGCAGAAGAGAAGAGGGCGTAGGTTGGGTGCACGGTGTGAGCATACGTGCACTTCTGTTTTGGCCGAAAGAGTCAAATTTGTGAGAGATCTATAACAATGAGAAGGGAGTTCGGGAGACCATGGGCGTTCACCTGTTCGGGCTTGAGCTCTAGGCTTCAGAATGATGAGCATGGTTTATATATAAGCGAAAGGAGTGCCAAATTGACCTGAGAGAGAGAACCTTTGGAGACGAATCGAGCAAGGGACGAAGATATAGACTTCATGCCCCGGCTCAGGGCTGAATTGTCCACATCCGCCAGCACCGCCTGATATTTAGCAGCTGCTACTACTTGAGCTATACCAGCCCCCATCTGTCCGGCTCCCACAACTCCTATAATTCTGATACCCGCCATGTTTGTCATCTTGCGTTGTGCAGCCCGCCACCCACTCAATTCTTCACTGCACTATTTCCCACAGGTCATGCGCATCGTCCCAACTAATAACACCGACCAATTCAGTACCTCTCGCAAGGCAGGCACGCTGCTTAACAATCTCTTCCAACAGAGACGATTCCACTCACAGACAAAGTGCGCCAGGCCTGCACCGATCGCCTGCTGCTCGTCCTGCCCCTGCGAAACTTTTGTTTCTTCGTAATCTGAGCCCACAAACGAAGTTTGCAGCCTTGAATCCGAGCAAAGTCCTCTAGGTCACAACGCAAGGGACTCGTCAAATGCACCGAGCTTAAACTCCATGCCAGTCTCATCCGGTGGTAAAAGCACAGTCCTGTGCCGAATGATCGCAGCAGATTCTCCGGCGATCTAATCAGTGAACTCAATTGTGGGAAGTATGGCTGAAGCTCCCGTTCACTGCCTGAATCGAACGACTGCAGTCCAGCAATGGTGAGGCAGAGGATGGGAGAACATTCTTCACATGGGGTCAGAATCTCTGGTTCAGTTTGGACACACTCCCTGAGCTTACTCGCTGACTCGGTGCTGACGCTGTTGCCATATCACCAGCCAAAGAAACCGGCCTTGATAATGCGGCGACCAAATCTTATTGAAAATTCAGCATGAACTTCAAGACTTTGACTTTGCACCTGATCTGAACCCATAGAAAAACAGCAATCGGAAGCTGGAGCATCGTTTTGCAAGATCAACCTTCCTGTACATTATTATTGTATTACGTGAGAGTTCTAGCATACGTCCAAGGGCAAGCATTTCGAGGTACTTCAAGCACGTCGGGGGGCTTCTCATCGGCCACCCACATGCTGATTAAACTCCTGTCCACATCTGCCGAGAAAACCAAAAACCAAATCCACTTCCGTCAGCACGCGACTAGATTCTGCTTACCGGCATCACCCACTAATCTGCCTTATTAATCATATTTTGACAATCTCCCCTAGTACGCGAGAATCGTACAATGCTCGAAAAATATTGATTTCACATCTCGGTATCTATACTTCTTCGCAGCAGCGAGAATCTCCAACCACAAGCCATGTCCCCATAGCCTTCAATGAACGAGGTGGCTCAGCAGTCCGGAGAGAACGCGGCCACTGGCCATGGGTTTCTGGAGGAGAAAAATAATGTTCTAGCCACTCTCATTCGGCCCACAAAGTATGCTCTCGCTCGCTGGGCGTTTCTTCTTTTTTTTTTAATTCTCTTCGAGGCAAAGTTTGGTGAGGAGCTATTTGCATCGCTGGGCACACATCACCCCATTCCGTCAGCCTGATGACACCTCAATACTTCCTTCATTTCACAATTTATTCCATCCCATTTCCTACCATTTCCTTATCTATCGCAGACAGTGACATGAGCTTAAAATAAGAATAAGGTACGCCTGAAAATGAAAGGGGCCGGAGGAGGCCGAACGCCGAATACTCTGAGATCGCGGCGAGGAAATAACAGTCAAGCACTCGAATGTTTTTCACCGCACTCGAGTAGACGGTTGAGAGACAGAAGTCGGATTTGCCGAGCAGTTCCCGATGACATTCAGCGTACATGTTTGTGCAACGGTATCAAAGCAGCTTCCATGTTTCTTGTGCGTGACGTCAAGACACCACACAAGAAATTATGAAAGGATCAGTTCGGGAAAATTTCCATAAGTCCCACCAGATAAGCCAAACTGTCTGCCAAAACGTTGATGGCTGCACAAATGCCATAAGAGATGTCAGATTTTCTGTTTGACTCAGAATCAGCGCCTTCTGAGAGGTTTTTGTATGCTTCCTGCAGAAGAGGTGGCAGTGAACACTGGCGAAGTAGAACTATTCCAGGTCCTCTGTGAAGTGTTCTATTATAGTACTGTTTATGTAATATTCCTCAAATTCTGTGTGCAAGTAGAATATTCAGCTTTACACGAAAGAACAGCTGTTCTCTTAAGTCATAACAAAACGAACGACTAAAAAGAACGATGCACGAGTTTGTTCACCTACATTCTGCAATGCAGTGCTATATTTGTTGACATACACGAAGATTGTAACGTTGACTAACATTATCTTCTTTAAGTTCAGTAATACTCCTGATCTTCAGCTCCCCACTATCAATATTTTCTGTGATTGAAGTCGCTTCATTCGAACAGAACACTTCATTGTGGAGAAACATATGAGAATTGTTTCGCTGCAAGTGTCGAGCTTACACTCCTCCAAATCTACCCACGAAAAATCAAGTACTTAAAAAATCGCATGAAGCGACGTCGATCAGGCCCAAACCCTCCTCTGCCGTCTCCTCCCTTGGTTCTTATAAACTGGTCGCTTCTGAAACTCTTGACCATTTCTACCATGTATCTCTACTTGCGATGAACTCATTTTCCACGACGTTCAAGGACGAATACAGAGACGGGAACAGAAAGAAGCCTGTCTACGCACATGGTCATCGCTGATGCTCATATACAGATCTTTCCTATCTTCGGAGCGTAACGTACATCCGAAACCGTGAAGGGGTTAGTCCCATGATACTACCATACAAATTCTCAACAACTCGTTTACTCATTCTGGTGGACCATGATGATGAAGAGATCATTGCCAATTTGTATGCACCTAAAGAGATTCCAAGACCATTCTTCATCACACTGTATCAACACTATCATCCGCAACTTGGGGACTGCAACCAACTGCGTACATGCACGTAGAAAAATAACCGTTCTTCCGAGGCGAGTGTAGAGGTTGCAGCCATCAAGTTCACATGACAAGTCGAATTATTTACTTATGACACGCGAGACAGGTTGTGGCAAAAGACTGGCATAAATCAACCCAACGTTTAGGCACTTGATAGTTTCAACTGAATTCAGCAGTTTGTGTGGTGAACTGCGGGTGAACATAAAATGTCCCTGTATAAGAATTGTTGTCATCCCTTAATCAAGGGACAGGCTGCTCTCACACGTAATTGATCTCATAGCTGGCACTGTTCGACACAGCTAATTACAGATTGTCCGAACCAACCAAGAAATTGGAAAATGGCCTCTGTAGCCCAGTAGGAACTTACATTCTGTCAAATGTACAGTCGTGATAAATCACGAAAATGCCCGAGTCCAGCAGTAATCTCAAAAGAACAAGCAGCTGGCAACAATTTTCTCAGGCGTCAAAAATTTTCTTCACTTCACCGATTGCTTGCCGACAGATGGGACATGTCGGTTTTTCTGACATAGATATTCTGTAAAAGAGGTGATCACATGTAAGTATCTCATTCCCGAAACTGTTACAACCACAACCGATACTCCACTTGTCCCGACATACAATACAAGAAACACGACAAAAGCATACAGGGGATTAAGGAAAACTACCTGAGCCCACATAAATAGCAAGTGGCGCGGTGTCCACATGGTACAAAAAAGCTAGCCTTCGGTGCATCTAAACACACAGAGCATAGCTGATCCTCTGAGACATCTTTGTCTTTCCGGTAAGGATATTCCTCTTCCTCAGGAATGGAACTTGGTATTTCAGGGGCTGTTGGCGCAATGTGATCCGATTGTGCATCCTCAGGCGCGACCAGAGGTGAGCGCTCGGAATTCGCATCCTCGATATCATGGATGGATTTCATAATCATCGATTTTCTAACCAGGTACAATAAGACCACAAAGCCTGTAAAAGCGCACACAAACAATCAGCTTCTATAACAAGATGAGCAGTCCGGGTAGACGAGACTAGCAGGATGTGGAAACGAGAAAGAGCTTCAGACGTACTGTATATGACGATTATCGACATCCAACGAGTTCCATAACCGACTTCTATCTCCCAGTTGTCAACTTGGCTCTGTAAAGACACAATTCCAGACTTCAAGATCTTATTACGAATGAAAATATGTGAAACAAACTCTACAGACCCGGGAAACACAACAGAAAGCAGGTCGTTTTTTACGCAGATTGCGACAGTCATGAAATACTACTTCCAAAACCTGCTCCAATTACGAACTATGAAAATGCAATACGCGGCCATAAGCACAATATTTTTCACCGTTCTGTAGGTGATGAAAATACATCAAATCGCAAGGAAAGAAAAAATTACCTCGTCAACACCTGGCGTCACTAGCACAGCATATCTACTACCGAAAAGCGAAAGCTCAAGTTCGCAGTGAGACTTCAAATCGCACTTTTCGTTGGCGTGATGTACGTTGTACTGCGTACTATGAATGTCCAGCTCAAACTCTACCTACAACACTACCAGCTTAAAATTAGTGACACGATCACAAAAAAAAACTTCATCATAAAATCTCGGTTAACGATTTTCCAACACCTAATCAACTCTGCTCTAACTTCTGCTTTCTAACTTATATCCCTTATGTCGTGATCGGATGTAATGCATATCGACTTTCGTTGATCCGTAACGAGTGCATGTCCAAAAAAGAGCGGATCGAGTCGACCTCGCTGAAGCTTCAGCGCAAGAGATCCAGACAAAACTAAATTATCATGCACGCAAACGACATAACGAAGTCTGTAACGACACCCCGCTTAACTCCGTGACAGCAGTCGTGGTAAGACGTGGGGCAAGTGTTATTCCGAATGACTAGGCGTGAAGGGCACGTAGACGGTGAATCCAGTCGAAAGTGAAAGTCGCCAGCTTAACGGGCAGAATGCTGGAGTATAAGTTAGGGTGAAGCTCAGTACTCAAGGTACTTCCGAAAATCTAACAACAGCTACATATAATTGTTTAGGAAGATCAAGTACTAGTGCTGAATAAGAACGGTGGGGCAAGGACTGATACTAAAAGGTGTGGCAGTATAGGAAAGTTCCTTAACTATCTGCAGGTTACAAAGATGACATAAACCAAGGACTTTTGTACAGGTGGCATAAGAACACTGTAACCTACTTGGATGACGTTGGAAGGAAAGAATTATCATGCAGTGGGATCACGCTAACTGTAGTGTGCAGATAGCGTTCAAGTAAGTAATTAGAAACTAAAGAGAAAAGAACTAAATATCTACACATACATTCAACAATGTGGTCATTTCACTGAGAACTTTAGTTGCCACAATCAGCAAGAGTTCAGAAAAATATTAACAAATTTTAAGTAGGACGTTTGCTAGAAGGAAAAAAGGAACAGGCTCTGAGATTAAACAAATGTAAATGCACAGAAGGGCACGTGAGGTTTCGAAGACAAGCTTCAAAACTCAGACACCGTGTTGATGGATACCAATTCACAACAGATGAGGAAGCACGACTTTCCTTACCTCTGCATCAACATGGTGGGTATTGGCGAAGGCAAAGATGTGATCGTCATCACTGGTTGCTTCATATTTGTACTCTAAGTAGTCTGCAGTACTTTCCAGCAATAATAAACTTCAATCAGTATGTATCACCATTATACCAAAGCGACGAGTTAACGATCACTCAGGAGCAAAGGAATGGCATTTCTAAAAAGCACCATTCAATGTTAGGTAATTGACATCTCAGAACCAGTTGCATGCTAAGTTTGGTTCTCGTCCTCGAGGCTGGAATTCCTTTGGGAAACAATCCCAGTGAAGGGGAGAGTATAATTGAAGTCATTACAGATGCCCTCCGTTCTTGTTTTCAAAAATAAAACAACCAAGAAGCTACATGCCAAAGAAAAAGATACGAGATAGAATGCTCATTTGGTGAATATTACAAGGTATGAACTGGCACCTAATCAAAAAATTAACTCAAGAGAGGGTCAACAAGAAAACTTGTGTTTCTTCACATATATGTGTTTCTTCACATGACCCTCTATAAGCACATGACCTACTATAAGCTTTCTTGAAACACAGAGATCATAACAAGAAAGCTTATAGTAGGGATACGTACCATGTAGACGAATTGAAGCCTCGTCAGGCCGCTCAACAAATGCTTCTAGATCCTCTTTTCCTGCATATAAGAAAATTTGGTACATAAACATGCGTAGAATGCTCCTCTAGACTGTTTGAAGTACAAGAAGAAGAAAGGAGAGAAGTGAGATAGAGAACCAATATTTCGGCAGATCATTCCAACCAGAGCCACTTAGACACTAAGAACAAACAAACATCCATAATGCGAATCCAGGTGATTTAACTTCTCATGAACGTCGAAAGTTAAAGTGATCAAAGTGCACCTCGAATAACCTTGAAGTAGACAACATTTCTGTCCGGTATTTTAACATTGGACTTCATTCTGACAGTGGACCCTTTATTCAAATAATAGTAAAATTCCTGCCAGAAACACGCCAGAAACGTCAGAAACAAAATCAACGCATGTGAATACTAAGACTTGTTACTGTGCGAGCAAAAATTGTAATGTCCGCATCAAATATCGTTATCTCATCTTCAACGTCTTCAACTCAGATACCTCCGTTCAGAATGTCATTTTCCAGATTGGCCAACCCTCGTAGACAAAAAATTTCAGACAAACTACTCAGCTTCACTCCAAGATCATTCTTCATCTTGAGAAACAGTCTTCGCAAGGTTACACTTTACTGCTAAACCATAAAATAAAATCAATAACTGGATTCATGTGCCTAAATTTCGCAACTTCATGAATCAGCTCACCTGATGCCAATAATTCATTGTCATGTTTTGGTAATCGCTCCATTTGACTTCTGAGTCCAAAGCTGGTTGATTGTGCAAACCGTAAAGAACAGGGCCCCTGAATTCACCTTTATTTGAGAACTGCAACCACCCAGAGTTTGTATATATCTAAGCTCGACCTTGCATGTAGAGGCTAAAAATTGTAATATGGACAAAGTTCAGTAGGATGGACAGGTCCTGTAGTAACCCCTTCACTGTAGACGGAACTACCGATAGATCTGCAACAAGGTCGACGGATGACGGAGCTGTATGCAAGGGTAGATATAGCACTTCTAAACACACAACATTACCAAAATGAGGGTTCTGCCATAGCCTGATGACGGTTCCGGTAACTGAGATCCAGGGAGACGAGAACTACTGAGGACTACAAAGGAGGAGGCAAAATGTATGTGAGGTAAGGAGAAAAGCTTTCTAAAGTCCAAGAATCAGATCGGAGCTTCTTCTCGAGCAAACTTTCCAGAGTCGACCAGAATTAATTCACTACATAAACTAAAACAATCGTTGCGGCGCTTCGTGCTCTGTATCTAGGCTCCTGAAGCTAGAGAAGAGATCCACTCTCAACAGTTCATCAATGGACTCAGAACAAGGAAAAAATCTTAGAACAAACGATGAATTACGAATAAAAACCACTTATGGCTTGTTTGCAGATACAAAAAACATTGAATGCTTTTTTGTATCTGAAAACAAGCTTACAATGTATGAACTCAGATTTATAATGAGAATCCCTACTACTACGAACTATGGGAAAAGGATAAAACTACATATCTGGTCAAAATTGTTCCAAAAGCTTTATCTCAGGTTCGAGATCCGGGAACCAAGCAGGTATATACAAGTGTCGACTCCGAAAGCTCAAATCCAGAAGAGGTGAGTACAGGACAAGCGGGAAATGTAGTGGGGAAAGTGCTCAAAATCGGGGAAAGTGCTCAAAATGGTAGATTGCATGAAACATTTTCCAAACAGAATCTGTTCATAAATTCAATCTTATACCTTCATACTTTTGGCAAAGAATGAATGGGCTGTCAGTAGTCGAGAAGTATTCACGTCCAAAGCCAAAGTAGTTGTGCCATAAGGTCCAAGTAAAAGCCAAAATGTTCCTGAAAATGCCATATAACATGGTCAGTAAACTCCGTGAGACGATAATAAAATTGAGGGCCCCTAAAAATCTTGAATCATAGAGCTGACTACCTGCTTCGTTTTCACAAGGCGATAGTTGACGATTGGCAATGTTAAGAGGAACCCTAAAGTTCTCCGTACGTATTTCCATTTGACCAAAACTAGTATTCTCCAGAGAGTAGTCCATGTTCACCATGTCGATATTGCAAATAAAAATCGACTACTCTAAAAATCTGTTCAAGTTAACCGATTAGAGCTAACACACCCTAAACTTGAGAGAGAAAGGGGAAGGGCCTAGGCAGCGGTTTGTGTAAAGATCCGGAAACTGATATGGATGTTGCTCACATCTGTCCATAATATTCTTATTGCTATTAATTTGGACGAGGGCTTTAGGTTCCACAAAAGGTACTCTTTCGGGTGGACCGAGTTGCTATCCCGTTCCAGTGAATGATGATTCTGTGAAGGTTTTGGATTATTATTTTTTAATGATTATCAAAACAGTCATACTTTCAAAACGATCACAGAGGCCAATATATTTAAAAATGATTTGAAAGAAACACGCGTCAACGCACAGTTGGAGCAGCTCGAAGTTGTAAAATTCCTTCTGTTTATAAAGATTGTGAAAGTGGGCGAACCCGTGGCTGCGTTTGTTCGTGATGCGGGTTTCGCTTATTTAGTACATTATAAAGCCAATGATGAATTAGAAGAGAATATTCATAACTATCAAGATAATAGGGATAGACTGGTTAAGCTTCCGGAGAATTATGCCCGGATGCACCCTTCATGCGTTATTCAGGGCGATTAGCTATCAACTGCTCCGACAATATAGCACACTCCACCATCATGAAAAGGCAAGGCGAGGCGTACGGGAAGACGGAAAATTCAGCTGAGATGGCATTCCCCAGTCACAAAGCTATGAATGTGCTCGAAACTAGAAACCGAAATAGAAAACGAATGCGAGAAAAGTAAACCAGGTCTTGAAATCAGTTGCTCATCAAGAATTCTACACAGCTGACACACGTGGTGTCCTTCTTAGTCGTCGAACGTATGATATCTTAAAGACCACCAAAGCACGGGAAGAAGAGCAACAGAGTTTAGAGGATTTAGCCCTTACCGATGAACATGGATAACATAATGAAGGTAAAGCATGCTTTGTTTTGGTTGAGAGCCTCCGTCTTCCTGTCAAATTGCGTCATCACGGCTGCTGGGGGCCTCTGCATTAAATTACCATACATAGGACCCGATGAGTAGAATCCTGTACGATCGTAATACCCTGGACCATATCCTGGACCATAAGTTGGACCATAAGTCGGACCATAAGTTGGACCCCAGCCTGAATCATCACGATCATCATCCCTGCCGCTTGGAACGTTGTCGAAGCTACCCCCGCTAGATCGTCCTTGTTCGAATGATGAACTGAACCCACTCCCACCATCCCCACTACCCCCACCATCTCCAAAGCCGCCCCCACTACTTCTCGTCATCCTTCTCCGGTTACCCGATGTAGCAATTATACAAATTGACGAAACCCCGAAAAATTTTCCAAAGACAGTACTTTGGATGACCTCAGAGTCGGATTCACCCGCTATCAACGACGGCAATCAACTCCTAAAGCTACGAAAACCAAAGTTCCTTCCGTTGCCAAATGCCCAAGAAGAATTCCGCCACCACCTGACGACGCCACAAAGGAATCTACGAGTGTCAAACGAAGTCTGGGACTGAAAAGTCTACGGATTCTTGTTCTTGGAAAACCTGCAACCCTCACTATATACCACACGGTTCAGATCACAACACCAACGGCGAATCCTCACAACCTCAAGCCTCACAAATCCAGGCGCCACGAAACTTCTCGGAATTCAGTCCACTGACCCTTGCTTCAAGCGAGAGTCTGTTCTGGATCGACAATGCTGCTGCTAGCGCTGAATCTTTATCAGATCGAAATCAAAAAAACGACAATAATCGGTCACCCACAACGACAAAGAAATGACACGGAAAACGGACCCTGTCGCCCAACGACGAAAATTTACACAGCCAATTCCGATCCCGGCCTGGTGGATATGAAATACGGAGAGAAAGAAGCAAACGAAGCAATGTCGAGGGAACTGATGCGTTGGCGCACCGTCAGAAGCTGCGAAGATTCCATCTGAACATGCGTCAGTGCCGGAGTCAATTCAACTCGACCACCTTGTCGGTACTCGACCAGCGCCTTCGGCAACTTCTCCCCCTCGCCCTCCGATGCCTTCCGGGCGACGCTGCGCAATTCCTGGCTCAGGATCTACGCCTCCAACTAAATTTGCCAGCACTGTAATGGATGCGCTGTCGATGTCGCTCCATTGGCGCACGGGCCCTCGATGACGCCCTGCCGGATGCGCTGGGGGATGCCCCTGAGGGAGGTTCATCGCTCCCCTCCCCTCCCCTCCCTTCTACTCTACGCTCTGTATTGCCACTATCCCCTCGGACCTCGTAGACGCTACGCCTCCGCTCTGCGGTTCAGTGCCGGTCACCCGGTCAGGTTGCCTTCTGTTCCAAAGCGCGTCCCGTGTTTCGTGTCCCGCGCCCGGTGTCCCCTCTCAATCTTATTCCGATTCCGAGCTCTTCGAGCTCCCTGACCATACTCGACAGTACTGCTCCACCCCAGCCCAGCCCGACCCTTCCACTGCCGGGTCGCTCGTTCAAGACGATGACGTTACCCAGTTCTCTGTACTACTGTGTTAGTGCTACGTTGTAGCACCAGTTTTCCAACACACGGTGGCTTCCTTCGGAGGGTAATTAAGGGAATGCCCCCCCCCCCGCTTCGTCGTCCATTGCCATTTCCCCATCAGCCGTCTCCAGTGCTACTCCTCTTCTACAGTCTGACGATCGGAGAGGAGTGTGATGTTTTTGTAGTGTAGTGTGAGTACAGTGAGATTACTTTGGTATGTGCTCTAGGGACGGAGGCCGCGAAAACTCTTGGTCATCTTGCTGTGGCGGATACTTAGCAAAATCTGTAAGCAAATTCAGGGTCAGATTTTCTCCAATTCCTACTGAATTTCGATGCATCCGAGTTCGAGGAGGGGAGCTGAAACTTGCCCACCTGATCCCCGTGATTGTAGAAATATGAAATACAACGGAACTTAGTTCAGAGTCAAATTTGGAGGAGAGGTCAAGGACTGAGATAGCAGTTCAACTCATCGGTGGAATATCTGTAGCAAATTAATCAAACACCTGCTACTTAGCTACAAAAACAAATTTCGTTTTCAGAAGTGAGGCAGCAACCCTGTCGTCAAAACAGATGGTCGAAATAACCTTTTAGTGGGTAGATTTGATGAGCGACTGGGAGATCAAGGACATACAACTAGGGGCACACTGCACCTGGGAGTTATGTTATTCATGTTGGTACTCCTTGATCACACGGTTACGTTACACATTAATAGATATGTCAATCAATTTGTGGATGCCCCAGTAACTGGAACGAAGGGAGTTTGCCTTGAACGCAATTACCACAAAATAGTAAGATCTAAAAGATAATCGAGTGATCAAGATCTCAGACTGGTCAAAGTAGTTAAGGAATAAGAAACCTTTCCTATCTTATGTTTGAAAAGATCAATGATGCAAAATTGTTAAACTTTGTCTAATTCCTCATCTTGGTTGAGGGTTATACACTCGTATTCTGAAGAAGATTATTGATGTAATTACACTACTTAAAACAAATCTTTTCAATTGTTCTGTAGTATATCAAATTATCAGAGTCTCATCTTCTGATGAAATAAAATTCTCTTATGGTCTAAGAATTTGTGGTTTCTTAAAATACTGATGATTTTATTGCATGTCACTTGGGTGATATTTTATCTTAGATTATTTTGCACATCCATAATCATCACAATCGGAAGAGATTGAAAATGGTGTGGAATATGTCATCCACGTGCATCTTATGCAAACATTTGTAACAATAAAGGTATTGGTATTACTATAGTAAAGTAAAAAAATTCAACTATTTAAATACTAGTAAAATCGATATGTTATTGAATTTTTTATCTACCTAATTGATAATTGTTTCATCATGCTATTCTAACCAAATTATACAAATATCTATTATCTTATATGTTTTATTCATGCAAGTTAAGTTCTCATCTAGATTGCAGACAGGTCATATTCATCATATTTTTTATGCATATATTTGTCATTATTAATGTGAATCAATTTTCATAAATTATCATTCTTATTTAATGACAAAATTTCAATTCACGAAAATCAATATTCATAAAATCATATAATTTTTTTTATTTCAAATACGTGTTAAAATTGTCTCAATTTTATTTGAGAACTCAATCCATTATTTATAGAAAGATCTAAAATTCGCAGTAATTTCTATTTTCAAATCTTACACTTCATATCAAATATAATTTATGTGTATATAAAGATATCATTTAATTAAAGATAATTAAATAAAAATTATTTGATTGATAATTTTTGCCTCAAGCTTTTGATCTATGAGCTTTGACAATATATCATTGCTGTTTGATTCTGAAGTATACATCATATGCTAAAAGAAAATTATAAAAATAACAAAAAACATCTAAATGATGAAAAATAGTTATTTTATATAATTTTTAAACTTTTATTTAATATTTTATTTTTTATACACCTTCAGTATGAAATAAAATTTAATATAAACATAATTAAATTATTTCACAACTTGCGCGTGAAATTTTTTTCATATAATTTCACGTGCAAGACGTAATAAAACTGGGGTGTTAGACGGTTTATGGATTTAGGAGCTTTAAGCTTTTTCTTAAGATGGGCACTATTAGTATCAAAATGAAAAAGTCAGAGTTTTCCAGAGCTGAGTTACTAAAAAATATAAGTTTAACCCCAAACATACAATACAGGGCTGAAGGCACATATTTGCTAATATAGATTTGCTGGCTACCCTTACTTTACCAGAATAAAAACCAACCACATGCTACCTCACCAGAAGAACAAACACCAGGGCTACACTATTTCACCAAAGTAACAAACACAGCAGTAAACTAACAGGGGTATTTTCTGGGCCTACGCTATATTCCGAAAATAGCAAAATGGTCAAACACTTGATTTCAATTATCATTTATACGGATGAACTCTCAATACAGAGTTCATAGTTCATCTTTTGCAAAGATGGACTATATGCATGTTAGATATATGTGATATATGTTAGCATATGCATTTATATGATTCAAAAATGTGTTTAATTTTTGCTAAACCCATTGAATATTTTGTTACGTTTACAAATTTGATAAAGTTCTGTTTATATTCTAAATATGAAACTTTGAAAAATGAATGAATTGTTCCATGCAACCTCTGATTAAAACGAAATTTCATATCATCGTCAATTCTAGCAAAAAAAAGGTCTCAACATATATTTAATGATTTTATTTTTTATATTATTTTCCAACAAATTAATGATATAATATTTGAAAAAGAATGAAATGTAAATTATATAATTAATTACAATTATTATGATTCAACAAGTTTTTCAAAATTCATATGCATGCAAATCAATCGGGATGCAATGATTTTTTTTCAAAAAACAATCAAATCATATCCAAATTATATTTTTCACACATATGCATATCATATTTAGTTTTATTTGTTCAATATATATATATATATATTAATCAATTTTAAAATTTATTATTAAAATTTGTAAATAATACATAATACTAAAATCAAAAGTATATTTAAACTATTTTTTAAACCTTTTATATTTATCAAAATTAGATACATATTTACATTTGAAGCTAATTTTATTCCAATTGGATAACTGTTAATGGTGAATTAAAATTTTATACTGATATTAAAGGATATAAAGTAACATTTGATAATATCTAAATCCAATTCCTTTTTTTTTCTAACATCACAATTTTGCATGTTTTATTATCTTTTGCTGTTGAACATATTACTATGTTATGAGAAAATATTTTATTCCAATATACACTTGATATCAAAAATATGTATAGTACAAAACAGCCTTTTTGTGATTTTCTTACAAAAATTCTTATCTGATAGTTTTCTATTAATTTGATTGAAGATCAAGATAATCATATCATATATCAAATAAATGTAAATTTTTGTAAACAAATATACAATGATAATTTTAAAAACATTGAGTAAATTTTCCTAAGATTCAGAAATTTTGTAAAGTTCTGTTAAAATCAATGAGTTAATATTTATATCTAAATGTGAAAACCTTATATATGTATATACTTTATGAAATATCAATTGTTCAATAAAATATCAATCATACAAAATTTCAAAAATTGATGATATCAACCTAACGCTATGTAATAATTTATAAACTAAAAAACATGTATTACAAAATATTAAACTCTATTAGATATAATAGAGGTTAATTATATATTATATTTTCTAACTTTTTAAAAATTTCTTTATTTAGTAAAAAACATTTTTTTCACATTTATAGTTTCTAAGTCTTTTTATATTTGAATTTGCTTAAAATTCTGGCCTTGAATATAAAATAAAAATAAATAAAATGTATCATTATTCAAGACTTAAAATTATGCAACCCCAAAATACTAGTAAAAAACAAATGTATGATACTCTCGAGACTCGTGAAATTTAAGGTTTAGGGTCTTATAGATAGGAGTCGTTTGGGAGGTTTGCGGTGCATCATCTAGTGGTCCTTGTACATCTCTAGCTTGGGAGCGCACAGCTTCATTTGTATATTGAGCCAGCTTCAGGGGAGCATGTATCTGGGAAGTCCCCAAATTGTATTATTGACTAGACTCTGATTTTGAAACTACTGTAAATATTTTGAGAATCTAACTTTAAAATTTTGATTAAATCACATGAAAAAATGATTTAAAAAATATATGAAAATATAATTTAAATCAGAAATTGAAAACAAAAATTTCAATATATATTTTGCAGCACAATAATTACATTTAAGGAAAAAAATTGTATTTTATCCATAAATACAATATAAAAATTAAATTATTCTTATGCAAAAAAGTCTAAATTTATAAAGTTTCATTGTATTATTTCATAATCGGAATGAAAATAAAAATATTTATAATTTTACATTCCAACTTATAAATGTCTTGACTTTGCCAAAAATATAGATATTTATACTAAAAATAATAATTAAATCATGTGTTAACATTAATTATATTAAATTTTAATGAGAAAAATTTACAAATTCAAAAAATGAAATTTGCATAATTGATTATATTTCATTTATAATAATAATCAAAGAATCTAAAAAAAATTAATTAAATTTTTTTCCAAAAATTAATTTTTTAATAGCATTATATTAGTTTTAATTCATTTGACAATGTTATCACAAATGTATTTGTTTGATAAATTATATACAAAAAAAACCAAATATCACTTTGTTAGATATTTTAGATTTTTATTCTTTGATAAATTTGATAATTAAATTAAATTATTGCAATTTTTCACATATTTTATTATTTATCATAATTTCTAAATTTTGAGAATATTATAAAGAAATATAAAAATTTATAAATTTATAAATAGCTTTTATAAATTTACAAAATTTACAATTTATAAAATTACAATTTACAATTATTATTCTCTATTTTTTGAATATTTAATTAAATATATAGTTAAATATAATTTAAATCAAGTTTGAATTTCTTTGCCGGTTGCTTTTTAATTAAAAAAATCATTTGAAATTTATATTTTTTAATTATTTTGTTATTAATATATTTTAATTTTATTAATTAAATTTCAATATTATCAGAGGTATCATATTAAAATTAATAATTTTGTGTTAAAATTGAAAACAAAATAGAGAGATTTAAAAGTGAAAAGAGATTTTAAATTATTCATTTACTTTAATTTGATTGATCAATTTTTTTAATTGTGATATATATTTTATATACAACAATGAGTTCAAAACCAAGATGGTCTATAGAGTTGAATGTATGACAAAAATCACTTTGGGACCTCACTCTCTTCTACTCTGAGTAATAATAGTTTGACTATCGCATAGACAAGCCACAAAACCTGCTTCCATTCTTAAAATATTGTAAGTATTGTTGAAGTAAGAAAAAGTATTCAAGCATTTATGTGCTGTAAAGAATGCCATTTTTGGTATCAGTTGTTTGTCACACGCGCCACTCTAGTCAGCATAGTTCGCCATACATCCCATAGTTGTTCGATGAGCGGTAAATCTCGGAACTTTAACCACATCACTAGTGTCGCCAATTCAGCTTAGATTAGTAAGAAATACTTTTCAGTATTCATTGGCATTGTAACTTTCGAATGATGTAATTACTTGAACTATACCTTTCTGTTTATCTATTTACTAGTAATTCTGAAAACGGTGATGTGAGATGTACATTGTCTTTATTAAAACGTCATTATGTTTTTAATGTATTTATAAAGAACATTAGGTTTAAAACTGTTCACATGTTAAATACATAACAATCTTATTGTTTGAACCTGTTACAAAGAACTGAACTTTTTCTTCAATCATAAAATTAATTTTTAACTAATTTTTTTTAAAAGAAATTCTAAATGTATATCAAGTGTTTTTATTTATATGTTTAAATAATTTGTAATCTAATATGAAGAATTTGAACATAATATAATTCCATTTTTATTTTGAACTATACTTTGATCTCTCTTGAGGTTTTTTTAATGGAATTTTTTATACAATATATATTTATTATATAAAATTTTAATTGATTTTTAATAACAGATTGAACAGATTCAAAATTTTTTATCATCATACACGATAAGGAGTATGTTTTTAATCAAAAATTAATCTGATTATTTGAAGACAAAACGAAAAAAAAATTATTGGAAAAATAATGCAATAATTTTGCTAATTTTTAAGTGATAAAAAATTTCAAACAATCACTTCTTAATTTTCTTGCTAATTTTTTTGAATTATGTCTTGCTTCAATTTTATAAGTACATCACTGGAATATAAGGTAGCTATTGATAATTTTACTATAAAATTGTTCATAACTTTGGTCCAAAACACATTTAAAGCTTGAAAGCATTCATCACATTAGCATTCTTTGCTTATTAATAAACTTGTTAGTGTCATCATTATTTTCTCTTATAGGTTATTTTTGACAGTATTTTTTATTTCAATAACTTGTTTTATCAATTTCAAATTTTGTGAAGTCTAGGTTTTTTTTGTTTGGAGACTTAAAATTTAATTTTATATTAATTTTGAAATATTTATAGATATTTATTCATAAATTTGATATCATCTTGCAAACTTTTGCATGCATTAAAGCAAATTTTTTGATGTTATTCTAGAATTTTTATAAACATGCATATTTTGATGATTAATCAATGATGTTGTTCAATCACTCTATCTTTTGACGTGTATTATGTGATTGATATATATACATACATATATATACATGTTGATTACATTTTTAGCTGACTTTTAATTGACAATATGTACAGTACTAAGCTTTTGATCAATGTTCATGCAACGCTTTATCTTCCTATTTACTCTCATGCTCATTTTTTCTAAGTGATTAGGAAAATTCTTGTCTGAGATTGAATTTTCCTATTATTAATTAATTTAATTAATGATTCAAATATATTGAAATATATTTTGACAATTAATTCTTGATATGATTATTGGTATTTAGAAACTTATTGAAAACGTATTTTAAACATTCAAAATTAGATATAATGATGAATGACATTGTGAAATATACAAGAGGTAAAAATGTGATCTTAATATTTCAATGATTAGGTTGCATCGTAGACAATCATGATCTTAGCAAAGATCACAAAGAGTATGAAATTAGATATGTGATCAATATCTTTTTGATTAATGGATCAACATTAGCATCAGATATAATTCATGAACTGAATTTTTAATTATATTCAAGTTTGATCATACAATGTGCGCGTAGAAATAACAATCATAACTCCTCATTAAAATTTAGACCAAGTGTAAGTTAAATGATTGATATTTGAATAGGTTAGATAATGAAGTTTTTAAAACTTATGATAATATATCTTATTTTAATTCATCTTGTATGTTTGATTCATGAATAAATATAAAATTAATCATTTTCTAATCAAATTCATAAGCTAATATGTAAAAAATTGCTTATTATCATGAAGAAATATACATTCAAAAGATTCTTCACGTTCATTGTGCTGAAAGACGTGGTCTTGTTATCAGAAGATGCATTCAAGGAAGTATGGTATTCATTAGGAGAGAAATATATATATGAGTAAGAGCGCTTATTATAGGATGTCTCAGTTGGTTTATGTCACAATGTTTATGTAATATCAAAGTATGTAACTCGGCGGTCACGTATTTACAGTCTCAGCCTTGCCTACAGTTCCAACACAAGATCAGAAGAAAGCTCAATACAGATGATTGATGATCTGTACTGATGATTGTGAGCAGTAAAGTAAAACACTACAGTTTCTGCACTAAACATATCCATTTCCTCTAGAATATGCTGTGGACCCGATTGAGGGCAGTCATCTTCAAATTGTGCTCGCACACACCCATCCCTCTTGACTGGATTCAATGCACGTGCAGGATCTAAGCGTGATATTGTCTGGTGCACTTGAAACACATCCAAACATATTCAATTTGTGTTTGCCTTCGATATGTCTACATGATTCCCTAACATCTGAAGAAGGTGAGACGAGGCTTCGGTGATTTGAGCATCTTCCTGCCGATTTAGAGGCCAATGATCGAGTTTCTCGCTTATTGGTACACGAAAAGGTGAATGAAGAGAACAGCACCCAGAATGGAGATGGGCGAAAGGATAGTCGTTGCAGTGGTTGCAGCATTTCCCAGGCGCCCGTCAATTGTGGCCAGCTTCATGACGCCAGATATAGTGTTCACCACGTCTTCTCTTGGGCAAGTATTACCTGCGAACTGGGCACTGTTTGAAGCATCCCAAGTTTCGACACAATTCAGTAGAGCGTTGCTGCATTGCGTATCCACGTAGTTCTCTGCATACCACCACAACAACCACGATTCTCCGTCAAAGATTCAGTACTCATTTCAGGTCTCATCAGCGACGCGCTCTGAGTCCTTTAACAAGGTTTCAATTGGCATGTAGGAATGAACCTCGGAGTCACGTTCATGGTTAAGCGATTATGGGTGACACATGACATGGAGAGAACAGTAACTCTTGTGGTGGTAGATTCTCAAAGTTTCAGATCAAAGTTGTCGCCAATTAAATTGTGTCACGAATTCCAAATCTGAGTCTAGCAAGCTCTGCAACCTCTGAGGCTCATGGACTTCACTGCAAGTTTTTTTTAAAAGGAAGGGAAAGAGTAAATAATAATGAAACCAGGAGCTTCAAATCCCGCCAGTAAGATGGCTTTGAAAACGGAACATCCCACAATTTCTGGACTGGACTCGATCGTCTAAAGTGTGGCAGGCTTAAGTAGTTGACTGTCTTACTGAGATTATTAGATCCGACGCAGTTGTCATGCGTTTGGCAGCAAGCATCGAGGCCATCACAGGGAGATTGTCCACTGCACCCTGTGTATCCGACTCCACAGTACTTTCCATATTTTAGCCTAACTGGGTCTGTAAAATATCACGTGGTTACAAGTCAGCGTTGCACTTCATGTTTTTACAGTGAGAGAAGCAAGTGGTATAAGATGAAGACTTTTTAGCATCAAAACATTTGGGTTTGCTATCATGTTTAACATCTTTCTCATTCGAGTTCAAAACGACATCGAGCTGAATTATATCGTAAATTCAGACACATCTATGAACACATCCTCTGTGAAAATCGGAATGTAACTCAGATACTAACCTTTGCAATGCTCGGACTCGCAGACCGTTTTGCATGTCTGCAATGAATGTATTACCAACACAACTCGATCTTCAGGACTTGGAATAGACAAACCAGTGGATTCTACTCTCGACATAACCGTGATAAGTCTATAAAGTTGAATCATTATCGACATAAGTACTAAATAAATTGTACTTAAATGCTCCTGACATTAAGTAATTTCACACTGAAAGCAGAATATGGCAGTAGAAGCGTAGTGTGGTCTTACAGATCGATGTATAATAGATCACGCGCAACTAACTTTTCCCAGAAACAAATTGAACTCACAAGCACGGGTTGCGTTAACTCGAATCGACAGTGATGTCACAAGCAATAATCATACCGTTGGGGTGGTGTTGAAGTAGAGAGCCTGAGTCAAGGGTAACAGAGTTAGACAGAAAGCTGCCACGAATAGTGTTTTCTCCATGAATGCAATTCGACTGTGTCTGCAGTGGGTCTGTTCCTCGATGAAATGCTCTTACAAGCCCTGGTTTCCAAACTCAATCTCGCTTGAAATTCCTGAAAGAGGGCGGGGAATGTCGAGCTCGGATGTTGATGTTCTTTAGCCTCTGACAGGATATAACCAAGAGGCAGTACCATTATATAATGTTCGCTGTTTCCACAGCCATGTGACGAGTTCACATTGGTTCAGGAGGTCGCGCCGGATAGGACTGGAAGATTTTTGCTGCAGTTACTTTACTGTCGTTAGGACACTGTCATACCAGGCCTTGTTTTGGTGGGCTAACAGTCTGCATGCTTGCCACTCATTCAACGATGAGCCTTGTTGGCGACGTTTATGTCGATGACTCATTTTCAGAAGTGACTAGGAGGGCCCCTGACTTGCTCGGATTCAAAGTCCTTGCAAATTCTCTCACATGCTTCAGGTCAGAAATAAAAATTACTCTCTGAGAACGAAGCCCACGTCCGCAGTCTCTTGTTGTTTTCATCTTTTCTTTTGTTGCCCGGAGTCAGTAAAGCCCACAGTCTTTAGATCGTGGCCTTCTCAAATGAGACCTTGATGCAAGCTCGACGTACGGCTCGTGAGCACGAATTCTTCGATGTTTGAGAGCATATTTTCTGCCTGGCGCCATTGGCTCTTCCATTTCATCACCTGACTGCCCGGTTGGAAGTAGCCGGGTCCCTTTACACACCAGCTGCTGCCCCGAGCTGTGCCACTGCCACACCTGGTATTGCTCGGTTTGCTTGTGAACTAAGGAAGCTTACCAAGTTTCAATGTCTTTGCAAGACATCTGTCACTGCCAAAAAAGAGTCGACATTTTTACGAATTCCTGCTATTTATAATTAATGACATGGTTTGCTCATCAGTAAAAGTACTCTTTTCTTTTCCATGTGAACGGATAAGGAGAATTGTTTGAAATGCTGCGGACAAATTTAGTGTTGTCCACAGCCGAAAATGATCAAATTTGAGCTGACCAAAAGATCCTACTATATAGTATGCGATTAAACACTTCCTCTGCATGCTGCGCATGGAGCACTGCAAAGTTTTGAACTAACTTCAAGCAGGTTTCTGTAGCCTAAAATCATGATCTGGCTTCCAAAACAGCATTCCTCATGTTTACCGTATATAATCAAAACCATTGCTCGGAGGTCAGTCTTTGTCCTTCTGTATGTTGCTCTTGTAATGTGGGTTATTTATCTCAAAGTGCTAATTGCAATCATAGTCCGAGATAGTGCTTGACACATGCAGCAATCATATATGATGTTTGTAGAAGTTTGGTTTTGATAGTGACGATATCATGGGTGTTTACGTGATACAACATGCCTAGTCCCTGATAATATACTTTCATTAACTTTCATAAATGTAAAACTTTATGGGATATTCACACTATCTATACAATATGAAGCTTTTTCCTTTGGAAAAAGCTTCATATTGTATAACTTCATCTTGAGGCCTATAGCAAGAGAAGAGGTTTGTTTCGACTGCAAAAAGGAAGCAGGAACCATCACTTCATTGACGAGAGTTACTCATTTATAGCTGGTAACATGTTCATTGAACTCTCTTCATTGAAACATAGATTCTTCTAATCAAGCATGAAATGTGGTCATCTTGTAAATGAGGTCGGACTAGAGAGAAGTTTGTTAAAGACTTAAGAAGGATGTGTAAATACAATGGGTTCGTTTTCCCCCTCGCTAAGAAAGCCCAATAAACCCACACCAATAGGATCAGATTCAGGTTCCTATGCAATGGGTGTGTCTTTTTCTTCTCATACCACTCTTCGCACGATAAATCCTCCTCATTTTGTTGCCCTCTTCACAGAAGTTTATTTGGATGACAGGAGAAAAAATTCATCATCCTTGTCACAGAGACAAAGAAAAATGTTATCCCTCGTTCGGGGCCATAGATACAACCACGCAATATAATATCTAACCAGCAGGAAAGAACCAGATCTTATGTGGAAATATCTCCCCACATCTACCACACAGAGTCAGACATACACGGGGTCAAACACCGCAGTTTTAAATTTAGATTCCTTCTTACTTCAAACTGTGACTATAACTTTGTCGTAACGATCTCATTGTAACGGTCATTGCAGACGTGTTAGAGCCAATGACAAGGGATTTATAGTTTGGGATACCAGTCCCCACTAAATATCATAAGCATTGTTTGAACTTTCAATTGTGCTCGAATTTCTTCACTCAAATGATCTTCTATCATGATCAAATGCTTGATGAATAAAAAATCAAACCCCAAAATCAATACTAAATTAGCAAGCTCTTCAAAACGATTGATTTTTACAATTAACTTGTGAGTTTATTCTCAACTTCTTCAATATAAAAACTAAAAATTATCTCTACTAGCTAGTAAGAGTAATCTCTGACTTGATTAAAAAAATTAAATTAGCTTTAACTAATCACTTGACTCTTAAATTCTGAATTGAAATCTAGACAGAAAAAAATATTGACAAGAATTGATATATGAAATTATATGTCAATATATTTGAATCTTTTAGAAGTCCAGCGATATTCTATTGACATTGATGTATGCTCCTGTCAATGTTGGACAATCTCCTATCACTGTTTCAATCTGCTCAAAAAATTAAGAGAAAAATTAATCATAGTAAAAGAAAATTCGATTATATTTGTACTTCATACGATTTTTAATCTCATCTATCGAGAAATATTCATAATGATTTTTTCAAGCATGATTGCGTTCAACTAAGCTTAAATAGTTAAACATATTCATGACTTCAATATATTCATAATTTAAATTTACTCAAAAGTTATACTAATCCATGCACAAAAATTGATCTTGAAAAATCAATGATAGCATATTCGTATGTTAAAAATTTTAAAAAGTGAAAATAAAACATTTTTAGATCATAAATTTGGTCAAAACTAGAATTCTAAATATCCATTTATTTTATGACTTAGGTATTAAGCATGTAGGTCACACATTGTTATCAATAAATAATAAATAATTTTAACACAAAAATCTGTAAGCACATGAATTCTTGTTGAAGTTGTATACAAGTTTGCTACATGAGTTCAAAACAGAGTGCATTGTAATGATCAATTTTCAACTGCAAAACTCACAATTAGAAAAAAATGATGAGCACAGATTGATGAATTCAAATTAAGATTTGAATGAAGAATCATGTTTGATTCATATATCAAGATTTGAACTTAAAATAGATATTGGCGCCTAGCTCCACACTTCCTCCCACCCTTTCACCATCCATCAGTAACTTAGTAACTTCTTATGATAGGATCTGGCACATACCCACACGCAAGTGACTTCTCAAAGTTACTGCAGTCACTGGAGATGCGTGATGGTGCATGCAGGCTCCACTTCACTGCATGACACAACATTTCATTCTTATCTACCATCAGACTGTATTCGTCATCCTCGAGAAAGGTGGCGGCACACTACATTTGGGATCTGATCAGAGGAAAAGCGGGCCGGCTTATTTTGCCAATCTGTACTGTAAGCTGTTTTCTAATTATCAAACACGATGTGATTAATGAGCCATTCACAACAGGTTGCATGCAGGCCATGTTTGCCAATCCAGGTGTAGGGTGCACGTATACAATGAGATTCATTCCTTGATTCTGGTTTCAAGAATTCCGTTTGCCAAGATTACAGAAAAGGTATTTCCTCTTCCCCCAAACCGTAAAGTTTGCTTACTAATCTCCCATGAGTCCGACCCTTCCTAACGACATAGAAAGTCGGTCACATTCTTGGGCTTGAAGGGTGCAAAGGTTTGATTGAACAACGAACATTTTGCAGTTCAGCGTGCAGCATGGCATGTCCTCTTCAGTTTCGTGGGGTAAGATGTTGCTCAATGCTTAAATGCCTAGACGAGCTTTCAACTTCTAGGATGATTCAAGCGGCAACCTCTTACATCTGAAATAGATGCTAGTCAGATTCAATATTCACCTTCACTATTTGATATCGCCCTGTCGAGATGTACATATTGTCATGAACTGACGAACAGTCTTCCTCAGGACGGCGGGTGTGCTCTCTAAATTAGCACATATGGGCAAATTCGAGTACTCTATTCTCTTGGAATCTCACATCTAGTTTGATCTTTTTGTCAGTCTCATGTTCCTAAATAAGGTGGCCAGTTCCGACTCTCGTTCACTACATCTTTGTTTCCAGTTTTTACAGCATCTACCAAGTCAGTGCTGTTAGATGTTTCAATCTTGATGTTTTGGAAGATTTGGATTCATTAGTATTTGATACGCATTCAGAGCCATGATCGAAGATCCAAAGTTCCAGCTAGTAATTTTTAAGGAAATCAAACACCCAACTGAATGTCCACCTTAAGAGCTTCTTTCTCCTCTAATGATCGAAAAATAAAATGCATTCCTAACACAACTGAACCACAACTTAGACCAACTTCAGGCGCCAATAGATAGAGTCTCCCTTACAATCTTGTTCCTGCTCTACTTCTTCATATTCCAAAAAAATTTCTTAGTTTTATATCAATAAACATTATATGTTTTTTTAAGTATGTATTGAGATGTGACATCTTGTCATTTGATCCTATGTTATTGGCGTTGAAATTAAAAGTTTCATATAGAATTAAATTTGTTTTGAAATTTATAACTTTGATATAATAATATCAAATTATCGATTGTTCAGAATATTTTAACTTATAAATTCTTCAAATTATTATTCAAATAATAATTTTTTCAAAAAAAAGCAATAATTTTTGAATAAAATTCAGACTCAACGCAGATTCCATGATGCAAGAAATTTCACGTAGAAATATGTGATTCATCTTCCGATAAGCTATTTTCATTTAAATATAAATTTCTTTTTCAAGTTGCTTAAGCTTGTGTCACAAAGAGAGATATACCACATCTCATATGTAAAAATAGATTAACTCTTGTTTTACCATATAGAATGACTAGAGTAAAATCAAACATAAAGATTATATCATTTTATATTAGATTTGAAGATATATATTGAAATAATTTTGATAATTTTTAGCATGAAAATGCAATTAGCTAGTGTAAAATAAACAAAACATAAGAAATCACTTAATATTACATCAATTCATTACAATTGCGAATAAAAATTACTGGTCAAAGCAAATGTTGTTCACTATTAAATTTTGCAACAAAATTGACTATAAATTTTATATTGCCAATGTTTAAGTTACATAAAGAAATCATAATTCCACTATTAATAAGAATTAATTTGAAATCATAATACAGAAATCAAAATATATATAATTAAAACCAAAAATAAAAAATCTTCAAATAATATGTGAAATATTTATAAAAAATACGTTGGAGTGGTGGACCGCATACTTCTGGACTGTCCACTGTTCTTGTGGTAAGTTCTGGGTGACCGGTACAAACTTCAGAAGGATTGTTGACTCATCTTCTGCTGAAAGAATGAGAAAGACGCGACTTTGCCTTGTTCCCCGAAACTTCCATAATTAAGCATTCTTGTCGGTAAATATAACCCCAAAAGCGCTCACATTTCTAATATGTATGACCATCGTTCAATGAAGGAAGTGCAGCTCAACTCGTGATGAAATTCTATGATCGCAATAGGAGAAGAACTAAATGAGTTATTTCATGCTAAACTTAAAGAGTGGTAGAACACAAGTTCAAGAGGAGTTCTTTGTAGTAATAGCTGGGCGACAACACGATATGCTTCTTCACAATGGCAGGAGCAACCAAAGCCAGAAATTGTCTTCTCTTCGAGTTACTTGATCACCATCTCTCGAATCGGTTTCTACAGCACCAATCGGCTTATCTTTTTCCTTCCATACTCTGACAATCCAGGAGTCACTACATGTGTCGTTGTACTGTCGATTAGAATCTTAGCTAAACTCGACGACAGTAAGGCTTACTAGCTTGGATGGAAGTTTCATAATAAGATCTCTTTCGATCGCTGAGAACACCTGAGAGAGACTTTTCTGAGGCAAAGTTTTTGCAGTTCTTCGTGTGCATAAAGTCAAGGGAGAACAACTGACAGCAACGAACGTAATGCAATATCATCTTCATCTTAAAGCATTCGCAGTGTCTCAGAAGAATAAGCTTTGGCCCACTCAGCACCTCCCCGCAGTCAAATCCTCGATCTGAACAACCTTATCCAACTTTTCCCTGACAGAAGTACGACCTCGTCCGTACTCAACCCTGTCAGCATCGAGATGTGGATGCAATCGCATTGGGTTACGATCCAGACTCCTGCAGTACCTCGACTATTAGGGTCCTAAGACCCTGCCACTCCAATGATGCAAGGAAGTGCAACATAAACATGACCCGATCACTCTCCCCGAACGAGCCCCAAAATATTAGCCTCCTCCAATTTCACAAGGTTTCTTCAAAATCAAGGCCATCAACACACACACACACAAGCAGCGACGCCCAGACAGTCCACTTCGATTCAACTGCGTATTCTTGAAAGTCGCAAGTCTGCATCAGAGCTTCTGCTCTTACAACACCGAGCAGAGTCACACGTGATTTAGCTTATACAAATCCACCGTTGTCCAAATCTAAGTTCAACAAAAGCCCAGTTGTGTAAAGACTTCCACCGATTCCAAAAATCGGTGTCGCTCACCTGATTTTATTTCTAAAGCTAGATTACGTTCATAGAGTACAAAACGCAGCCGCAACGAAGAAGATGTGGAAAGACTGTGCTTCAGAATCGTGACCCTTGGGAGGAAGTGCAATTCTCGAGACGAAGAAATCCCGGTGGTCCAGTGCAGAGTCTGCAGCAGACTATGGAGATGTTGCAGATCCAGCATTACTCAGAGAATGCCAGACTTGCGACATGGTGAGATTACAGCCCAGGATACTTCACGATGCCTTGACGAGACCGACGGACGGACGGCCGATCCGCTTCAGGCGTGTCAGCGAAAGGCATCACTCGTCGTCGCCTTGGAATTCTTTGGAGTTCTTGAGGGCCCAATCGGCGAACTCAACGAAGAGGACGGATCCGCCATGGTTGGTGTCGATCTTGTCGAACTCGGCCTCGGGGTCGGCAATGGGAAGACCCCATTCCTTCAGCTTATCGACGGAACCGAGGAACTCGTCTTTGCTGACCTTCCTGTCGTCGGAGGTGTCCACGGAGCTGAACATCTCGTAGAGCTCGAAGTACTGGCAGAGGTAGACGAGGATGAGCCTGAACTCCGATCGCTCGACGAAGTCCGCGCCGAGCTTCGCCTTGCTCTTGCCGGCGCCCTTGGCCGCATTGAAAGCTCGGATGATCGCAGGCTTGCAGTCGTACAATTCCTCGAACTTCAACACATCGCGCACGCCCCTATCGACCTCCGCCAAGGACAGGTACCCATTGCCATTGGGATCGAACTCCTTGAACAGCTCCGATCTCTTGGCCTTAGCCTCCGGAGTCTTGCCGTATGGCAGCTTCGCGCTAATCTCCGCCGCGTTCATTCTGGTTGCTTGTTTCGAATCCCGCGCTACTGCAGATGAAAGAAATTGGAGAAATGGGACGAATGTAAGATTCCACTGACTCGTGGAATGCGAGGATTTGATCGACGATTCGATTTGATCGACCAGCCGGCTTCGATTAACGATTGCGTCTCTCGCTCATCTTCGTGGGATAAGAACCAAGCCGGATCGCTGGCATCTGTAGCGCTTTTCATTGAGCTCGCACGTTGCAGCAATTAGTCCTGACTCAATCATGGCGAGGCTAACAGCCTCTCAATAATTCCGCCCAATAAAGCATCGCAGCCTTCGTCGATCTTTTTCCAAAACTTTAAAAATATTGTAATTCGTATAAAATAGATGGAACATTTATAATCCCGGATCTTAAGGGGGGAACGTACGTGACGACCCCTGTACACGTGGCTACCGGAGGATGGCTTGAGGTGCTGGCCTCTACGTGTCAAGACATCTCTGCTGAGTCACTTGGCACGGGGCATAATCCGACTGTCGTTCGGGCCGGTCCTGGATGCGGCCGAATATTGGCTCTTTTCGCTGCTCTAGGCTCCCCTGCACGATGCTATTTCTAGTCTCTTCACTGCGAGTTCATTACAGAATCTTGTTTCTGAGCATCTGTTCCTTCACGCGAGCGAAGAATTTCTCGAGCTTTATCACCTTCGTAAGTGCCTCTCGCCCTGATTTTTCACCTCTATTCTGGCTGCGCTTTCCTGTACATGTTTCTGGCCCCGATGGATCGGACTTCTGTCTTGTTTTTTCTTTCTTCTTTCCAGCTGCGGGACGGTTCGGGATCGGCCTTCTCTTCTTTTCATTCGATATTGGAAATGCTGCCGCTGTGAATTTTCTATGAATGAATCATTTCTGCCCCGCCATCATCAACCCGTTCCTTCGAGTATTCTGCCAGCATGGGCCAAGTGGGCTCTTCTTTATCATGCATGCAGAGTCTTTAGAACACTTCTCTTGAAAAGTTTCTTTGGCAGGCTTTCACGACGTGGGCTATCTCCAACCGTTTCCTTCAATCTTGCAAATTTCCTTGTCTCGCCTTGTTGCCCTCCTGATTGATCCCGTTTTCCTTCTATCTTGTGAGACACGCGAAGTTTTATAGAACTCTTAGCCTCATTCAATCCAGTTCAATGTCACGTATATCGATTCTTCCCGTTAAAAGCTTGACACCCAATGTTTATCAGTCAGCCTAGAGGTCTTTTCTTAGCGTGAAATGCACCTCCAGGCACCTGTTTGGTCATAGTCTTCAACATCTGGTCCGCATTGCATTGGAAGCAAGACACCTTTACTGGAACTTGCGGTTTTCATATCATGTAAGCTGACTTAGATCTCTGTAGACTTACATGCTCGTGACTTCTAGAAGCTCGTGCTGAACAGTAATGTATCCTGCAATAAATGATTGTTTTGAGTTCAGCATATGACGATTGGACTGAAGAACTCACTGATAACGTATTCTCAACTTGCTACATCCTGTTTCCAATATGACTTCTTATATTTTCATGAGCAGCTCTGAACAGTCTCTGCGTTTTCATGTTTTCAACAGAGCTAGCTGCGAATACTAGTACTGCACTCCACGATCAAAGATGGAACCTTCACCTGAACAAGCTCGCAATCACCCTCATCATCATGAGACCTATGAACATGCGAAGAACGTCAAGAAAGGCTCCGAAAGGCTGGACAGACGATCAGCAACAGCTCACAGTGGGCCAAAGAAGAGTGGACATGGAGGTAAGTTTACATGGGACGGACCAACCTCCCAAGAGGATTATGAAAACGACGCTGTCGTGGTTTTAGATAAGAAGGATCCGAACTACATTGATGAAGACCAGGAAGCTGAAGACAAGAAAGTCGCGGTGAGTGTTGTCGAGGTTCCCAAGGTGACTCCAGTGGGTGCAGGCGAGGCAAAGGAGCCAATCGCGAACTGAGGGGTACCGTCACTGTCACTGGAGCGGAAGATCGATAAATTGGCAGTTTTGGCTTCACTAAGTGCCACATTTGACATGGTGTATATAGTCCAAGTTTAGGAGCAACCTGGAAGAATGTATATCGTACATTCGGTGTATATGTATGTGACTCATGCAGGAACAGTTCATGGCTGGTATTGCAGCTCGCAGTTTTTGGGACCTTGCTTAACAAGCTTCTGAAGTTGGAAACATGCGTCCTTAGAAGTCTACTTCGAACTTTTAATTCATTTGACAGTTTAGAAATTCTCGTAGCAAGGCATAGGGATAGTTATGTTACTCGATGTACTCGATCTGGCAGGGAATTTTGTAAGCTGACTTTAAAGTCGTCACCCGTACTCCAGTGTTCTCACCAAAGCAAGCTTCAATTATAAAGTTGATCGTTCAGACATAAGATCATCTGTGACGGAACCTCTCGAGACTAAAAGTCGTTGTATATGTTTTTTAGGCTGTTACCAATTGAAGAAAATGTGTGGATGAATATCTTCGAAATAGTTTATAGATCATGAACATTACTTTCTGGATCGTGGATACAGTGAAACTTTGATATGCCCTAACATTGCTAAAGAGAGAGAATGTGCAACTCAATTATCAAACTGAGATATAGAGAAGACTATCACTGTGGATGGACTGCATGTGGAACTGCAACACGAGTTAGAGACGTGATATCTGAGTTCCTTCACTATTGAATCTGTAGGGTGATATGAATATGTGAAGTAATGGTATCACTGCAACACGAGATAGAGATGTGATCTTCGTCTATATTTTTGGATTTGTAAGAAATTATGAATATGGATAGTAATGGTATAATCGATCCGCTTTGATGAATGGTGTATAGTATAAATTGAAATATCATTATTTTAGTTAAAATATTAATTAGCTCAATGCATATGCAAAGAGTATTAATTAGAGATGATACTCGCTGTCAGACTTTGTAGCTTTTTAGTCATATAATGATTATACGTATAATTATATATAAGTATTAATGGGATTCTCTAGATGATGTATATATATTCCATTGTGACCGTGGACCTCTATTTTCTCATCTAGTCAGTATCGGTTGATATCTATATCAATTGATAAATTCCGTACCAAATTATCAAATCATATATAATTATTAAACTCTAAAACTAACTCACCGATGCACCATAATATGTAGAAAAAGCTCCATGTTTTCTAAAGAACTGGGAAACGCATCATCATTACACGTTCACGTGAGATATACTTTTTACCAAAATTTTCTGTATATTATTTAGCAACTTATTATAACATCTAAGCTCAATTTTACTCCAGAAGGACATGCCCCATTGGATTATTGTATGTTCGGAAGTTGCTACACAATTTTCATGACCTTGTTTTACGTACAGTATGATGTGTAAAATATGATGTGTAAAATGTAACAGTAATAAATAGTTTACCCACTGTGTAATATACTTTTTACTCGATATATACTTATTATCAATAAACAGTATGATGTTCAGTATGATGTGTAAAATATTGGATGGCAACGATTTTCTTGGTCTGAAAGATTTCTAACTGAGGTGCAAACGCCCTCACATTATATTTCCAGTTGTGGCATTTATGGTGTATATATATGTGTACATATATTACTTTTCTTATTTTACAGTTTCGGACTTCATTATTTTACCGTGTCTTATGCATGTAATTTATCCGAATTACTGATCTTCAATTGCGTTATAAATATAACCTGGTGTTGAACTTCATTTCTACTTCATTTCACTACGTTAGTATATTAAGGAGGAAAATTTGCTCCAATATCTGACCACAATATGAAGACAACAATGACTATTTGAGGCTGTTAAGGAGACACATCACATTTCCTTCTTTTCATTTTATCAGAAAGTTTACTCCGTTTCTATTTTCCTTTCCCTTTCTTTCCGGTCAATGGTGAAAAATATCGCTAAAAGAGGCATATTCCATCACTAAAGTGTTGAAAGGAGATGTGAAAAGACCAATTCACCATGCATTGCCGTTTCAGTATGCAAACATACTTAAATGCTCTCAATGTGGGCTGATTCAGTTTGTCCCCACTTTCAAATTTCTCTTCATCTACAGTACAAGATGAATTCAATGGTACATTTCCACTGGACCAGAAATGAAATAAGTCTTTTACATCAGTCAGTCGACAGCGTGAGACATTATCTTATATGTCATCGATTTTGCTGGTGACGTGAAAAAATAGAATGTAAAGTTACAGAAACACCTACTTCCTTTTTCTTTCGGAACCTATACATACACGGAAGAGGGAAGGTTTTGATTCAACCTCATCGTTTACAAGTGACGAAACGCCCGACATTTCTCTAATAAATTCGCTCTAAAACGTAGTCTACCATACCTTCTAAGGATCGTCGAAGAGGACCTTGAGGCAGACACTCCAAATCCTTCAACGCAAGATTGCCCTTCTCCTTGGCAAGCTGTCTAGCTTTTTCAATACCTCCTCCCCTTATCACAAGAGCGATAGCTGCTTCTAATGAACCTTCGTCAGTAAACTCTCCTGCAATCAAGTCCCTAAGCTCCGGCTCTTTCTCTAAAGCAAACAAAACAGGAGCTGTAAGATTACCCTTCGCTAAATCACTACCGGCAGGTTTACCGAGCTGCTCTGAAGTCTGAGTGAAGTCCAGAATGTCGTCTACCACCTGGAATGCCAACCCCAGTTGTAGACCATAATCGTACATCTGCTCGCAAACACTTGAGCTAACTCCACTAAATATGGCTGCGGATCTGGTGCTGGCGGCAATCAAAGAGGCCGTCTTGTAATAACTTTTATCCATGTAATCCTGAAGCGTCAAATCACAGTCGAACAAACTCATAGCTTGCTTAATCTCCCCGCTGGCGAAGTCCTTGATCACCTGTCAGAGAGAATCAGTCAAGCCTTGTTAGACGTTTATCACACAGTCACCTCTACCGAGTTTCCACACTGCTTTAGCACTATATCAAATCAAGTGGTCGACGTCTGAAAATCAGCCCACCGTCGTTCGAATACAAGTGAGACTTTCACCGTCCACAGGGTAGTTCATAAAGATATAAGGTCAATCACGCTTATTCAACCCGACTCTTGGACTCATAATTTGCCATAGCCTCAAGACCATGCATCAACGTCCTGGCTGAACGGTGCTTGTACGGACAGACTGGGATAAATAACAGACCATAAAGCTCGGTTTCTTCAGTTCTGTACTTACTCAAGTATTCCAGCTTATGGAGCTACAGTGGACAATTTCTACTTGCTCTTGAAAAGATCCCAATGATACGAGACGAAAACGTACCTGACTAATCAACTTAATCACTTCCAGATTGTCGAGGTTGGCTAGATACCACGAAGACTGTGCGAACATGAAATCACCCGCCAACACTGCTACGCGCGTTCCAAACATATTATGCACAGTTTCTTTTCCTGCAGAGAGGAATGCCAAGTCTTAATTAGTACGATGATAATGGCTTTAAAACGTCAGTAAAGGGGGCAACGTGTTGAAATGAAATTCAAAAGATGCAAACGATTCATGTCTGCATGAAACAATACCTCGACGGACATCACTCTCGTCAAGAACATCGTCGTGTATCAAGCTAGCCGTATGTATCATTTCTATAACTTGGGCTAAGCGCCAATGTTGAGGCTGCATAGAACTGCACACGCAATTACACTTGTAACGTTAGACATCTGTAGAAGGTGATCTCTAAATTTTACTCAGACCTGTGCTTTCAGACATATGCTTATAGCAAAAATTCATTTCTTAGCCACAGCAACTCTTATGGCACCTTAATTTGAAACATCGAGTTCCAATTTATACTAACACTAGCTAAAAAAGCTCAAGTAAACAAAATACTAACACTAGAAGGTTTGACACCCATCGGCTGATCACTCCAGGTGAGAGTAGTTAACAGTATGCTGATATATCTGACTTGACAAAATCACCTGAAGTTCAGTTTCCCTGTAATTAAATGAAGTAAATTTAAAGCGCATAGTAAAGCGCAGTAGTGTATAGATAGCTGAAAGAAAAGTTCGAAAGTCCAAACGTACTCAAGTCCTGCAAGTTGAGCTGTGGCCTTGGAGACAAGGAACACCATGGCAGGCCTCAGTCTTTTGCCTCCGGCGCTAAAAATCTGCTCAGCTGCCGCCATAAGTAGGGGATTCTCGGCTCCTACGATCTACAAAACGAAATTGGAACAGATTAGTTTCCTTTAAGTCCGTGAGCTGCTCTTTCGTTCAAGCCTGCTGAATTACGACTTGTAAGATGAAAGTCATTGTTAGGCTAGTGAAACTAGAAACACCAACAGGAGTGAACAAGTCGTGGGTCTTACAGTATGCAAATTATCATTCAGTGTTTTCAGATCATCCGCAACTGGCGCCATGATGGCATTCAAGGACATCTTCGTCTTCGAATCTGGTGTACTCGCACCAGCAAGTGTGCTTCCATTGGGTCCGACTTGTAACAAGCTTATACCGTTAATATCTGCAGCCATCAAGGGATAATTCACATCAGACAATAGCATATTTTTTTAGTGAATGCTACGATATCTTTCTTTGTACTATGAGCCAGCTATGAGTAGAATTCATGAAATCTCACTCGATCTTATCTGAATTACAAATATTAGAAGTGATTTTCGGGATTATGTCACTCCAAGCTAACTCAGACTGTGCAGTCTCAAGTGAAGGGTATGTTACTGAAGCAAAGGGCGTGTTCCTGCAGCACCTACTCTATCGGTGCACCCAGCAACTTATTCGATGAATTTACAGCTACTTACTCAGAAGAATCGTCAATTCAGAAGGTGCAAAGGAGGATTTTCGTGCGTGGGGAGTAAACGTGTCCATATGAACCACGTTTACTCCTGAACTTCATCTACTGGTGATCTTCACCCGTGTAAAATAACGTAAAACATTTGTAAAACTATAACTTGGAGTTCGAGACGAAATCGACGACAATTCTGCTATCTGGTCGGAACCTAGAGTTGAATCTTTTACAGAAAAAAGAGACAAGGCGAGTGGCAGCTGTTAAAGATATCGACTGACTGAATCTGCTTTCACAATCTTCCCCTGCCCTAAACACAATGTACCATGAGACCGTCCCGGATTGATAAAAACCACAACGGTCAACTCAGCACGAATCACCATCCGGCAATTACAACGGGGGATTAGGAGAACTCGTCAGGCACAGTTCAAGGACTGGTTTCCGGATGGGCAACGCAGAAATGTCAGGAAACAGAGGCGGAGAAAGGGCAAGCTGCCGTGGATCCATACCTGGGACAATGGGAACATTCGCAGATTTTTGACCGGCGAGGGACAGCTTCTCAGCGGCATTTGAGTTTATCGTGGAGGGAATTGCCTGCTGCACATTGACAGAGCCGTTGCTGCGCCTGCTGCCAGACCTGTCGTCTCTAGGGGGTCCTGCGGGCTTGAAGGCATCGACTTTACAACCGGCGTACTTCCCCAACCCCTGGCCTGTGACAGTAGTGCTACGAGGATGGACCCTCTTGGACGATACTCCGGGAGATAAATACATTTGACAGCAGACGCTGCAGGTGTCGAGGCCAGTCCTACAGGGCCCGATATTCGGCATACTAGCCATGACCGCGGCCATACGGTCCCTCTATCGCTTGACCTCCTTCAAAGACGTCAATATCGCAAAACCACTTTGAGCGGGAACCCGATTCTGTCACCTGCACCTCAATTCCTCCACAGCCCCCGAGCCGAAAAATAGAACCTCTGCGCCCTCGCGTGTCCCGTGCGCTACCTACTTCGCGAGAGAGTGAGCTACAATACAAAACGCCAACCAATTCGTGCCCGCGAGTTGTGAAATGCGTCTAACTGTATTTTCCTTTTTCTTTTGGCGCTCGCGCGGGCAATGAGCGAGCGAACGGCGGTGCCCCGAGTCGAGCTCAGCTGTGCAGCCGGGCTCCGAGTGCGTCGACGGAATGAAGATTTTCGGCCATGTACACTGTGTACGGATCCCCCGCAGTGGCAGAAGAAAACCTTATCTCGCGTACTGCCAGGCTGCGCGCGCGCTCCTACATATAAGAAGAAGTCGGGAAAACACCTGCCGATTGTCACACGACAAGGCGAAAGCGCGAGCGGAGCGATAAACAACTAAACCACCACAGGACCGCGAAGATAGAGCTGACTACGTGAAGCGCACGTGGAATCTGTCTACTCATTCGAGTTGCTCCGTCCGGGCCACCCGTCGGACTTCAATTGCAGCTGCACCGCCTCGATCTGCCTTGCCTGCGAAGCCAGGGCAGAGAAGAGCGGAGGGGGGCAGCAGGCAGATGGAGAACCCAGCGCGCAAATCGCCCGAGCAGGACTGTCGCGAGCTAATAAGCCGCGCACTCCCGAGCTCCAATCGTCCTCCGAATTCTGATCGCTGCCTTTCCCGGCCACGTGTCCATCGGCCCCTGAATCCACCTACGCAGCCCCTTCGCGGGCTCGAGCTCATCCAACAGCCCCCCGATTCGCAACCCCCAGCCCCCTAGCCCCCCAGCCCCAAGCCCCCGACTCCACCACTTCTCCCCCCGTCTCCCCCCCCCCCCGCTCTCTACCGTTCCGATCCGTTCCGTTCCGTTCCCCTTCTCGCGCGCCTCCCCTCCACCACCAATCCTCCCCCTTTGCCTCGTCGCCTCCCCTTTCCTTCCCTCTTCCCCCATCCCTCTTCGCTTCTCCGTTCGCCGCTCTGTTGGCACCCTTGTCTGAAGCCCAGCCCCAGCCCCAGCCCCCCCGGGGCTACGCGCCTCCTCTCACTTGGCCATCGCGGTTCGACGCCGCGGATTCGTTCTGTTCTCCGCCAGTTGACGCGCGCGGGATTACGCTTTTGCCCCCGCCGGCGGGCCCCGCCGCTTGCTTGCTTGCTTGCTTGCCCCCGCACCAGACGACGCTCTCTCTCTCTCTCTCTCTCGCGTCGCCACCCGGGGCTTGCTGCCACTCCTTCTGAGCCCCTCCTTTCCCAGCGAGCGAAACACGAAGCGAGCGTGTGCCGTCGGGGGCTCGCGGGTTCGCGGTCGCCATCCTTCGTCGATCCGGGCTCCGCTCCGCCCTGCCCTGCCCTGTGGCCGAGGGTGTCCGCCGGGGGGGCGAGATTCGCCATTCGGCGTAGTACACCTCGCGCGGACCTCAGGTGAGAGTTACGGCGCAGTCGAGTGCAGAAGAGCGATCCTCCGACGGGGGCTCGAAGAATTCCGCCCATGGTCTTTACCCCCCCGCCTGACACAACAGGGGCATTTCACGACGCGAGCGTGACATCCACGACTCTCTGCGCTTTCCACGATCCCCGTCATGCCCACTGTCAGGGGGCTTGTGCGCGATCGACGACCCCGAACGGCTCTCTCTCGCCCCGGAGCCCCCGCGACGTTGGATCGCTGCGCTATGCGTCCGCTCGCCCTTCGTACCCCTCGGCCTCCAATCGTCCCGATCGTTAGAGGTACGGGACCGACCGACCGAAGTGACTCGAAATGACTCGAACCCGAAATTACCCCCCGCTCGACGCTCACGAGGTGGCCCGATAACTCTTCTCTCCTATAACTAACGCCGAATTTAACTCGGCTCCTTGATTATTTGGTTTCGCTCACGGGTGCCCAGAGATCTCCACCACGCCAAAATTCCCGAGCAAGTGAAACGTCGATTTCACGAGAACTGTCAACTCCATTTGCTCTATGCTCTGGAATGATGAGCGTACATGGGGGAGAGTGCTAACCGTTAGGAAAAGGAGAACATGTTACATATTGCATTGACAGAACATGGGGATCCAACCATTATTTGTAATAGGGATAATTAACGAGCTGTAAATATACTTTATCCAGAACTGGGCGCCGTTCTATTCGACGACCGCCGTGGGAAACGACAGTGATTCTCGGAAGACAGCACCAGAAATTGACGCAAGGTATATCCGCGGACTTGAAGATGCATCGGAAGGGTGGCCATTGGATCGGGAGGCCAATGAGAAAGCTCGGACGTCGAGAGAGGCGACAGACAGAGACCGACGGAAGGGAGCGAAGGGAGCGAAGGGAGACTTCCTTCCATGAACTTGAGAACGCGGCTGCTCCTAATGTGGCCACATCACTACGCGAGGAAGTCCGCTGCTGGCCACACGGTGCCCGACACGCGTTCCTCCAAGGCACCACGAGCACTAGTACCCTCATCCCTTTGCACCAATTTAGAACCATCGATGGGCTACCTCCAGTTCCTAGATCTTTTCATGCCCGTCTCGATCGATCCCGTCCCGTAGGGACTGTAGGTTCATACGTCATGCAATCACAACCGCACAGCGTACAGGAAGCGTATAGTCATGAGGTCCCGACTACACTGACCTGGGCCGAACTGGTCTCGGAACATTTGCCCAAAAGTGGGTCAAAGGTTCAAAGAGTATTGTCAACGTACACTATCAAGCAGAATATGTGTTTTCATCGTGCACTCTAGCCTCTCGCTTTCGCCCCACACACACGTGTAAAGCACCGTGTGTTCTGAGATGTATGTGTTTTGATCGTTTGGTGTACATAGTCTTGATGTGTCAGTTACGTGAGCTTTTCAGTGATCTTATAGGTTTTAGTATCATCTCAACATTTCCATTCATTTATATTTCTATTCCATTCATTCAATTGGTTTACTTTTGTTGTTCTCTATGTATTTATAAATTTTGGCTGCAACAACGCAATTCCATATTTTGTATCAAAGGAGAAGTCTACTTTTTGTCATCCTGATTCAGCCAATTTCTTTAATCCCAACTAAGTGTATAGACAGATGAGGAAACAATGTAAGTTGATTGCAGAGATAATTTGTAGAATATGAAGAACATGTCCCGATAGATGTTTCATGCAACGAGAAGTCAGGCATATTTCACGTGCTGCTACTCTTTTAGTGAAACTGATAACAGTACTATACTCCATGAATGTGTCGAAGACTTCATGTAGGTTACAATTGTAGGGTGCCTCCTTAAAACATATTTGATTGCTACATTTAAATGTGGCGGTGACCAGGAAGCTAATGGAAGTAAGCTAGCGAGTTATACATTTCACTTTCGAATTCGAAATCTGTATCATCGAATCAAATCAGCAGTTGTGCTGAGAAGTGCACGTAGCAGGACGACGATATTACAACTCTGCGATAAACCCGAGAGACAACACGAAGTAGCAATTTAAAACGAGGAAATTGCCTTCCACTTTAGTGAACGTTCTAATAGGTTGAACGTTAGAAGTCAGACAGAACTGCCAAGTGGAAAAGAAAAAAAGAGGTGAATATCTCATCAAGTAGTACGAAGACGAACACAAAGGATCCCTAGAGACTAGATCCCAATGCTATTACATCATCTATAAAAATCAGAACTAACTAAGTGTACTCTCATTGGTGGTTGTCTACCCTCATAAAATGAACTCAAAATATATATTTAAATATAAACATGCGTTCTCCATCAATTGTTGTTAAAAATTTCTTACTAGGCGCTTTTGATAACCAGTGTATAAAAGACTACTCTTGTATACGTCCGTATTGCTGAACTTTTGGCATGATCCAAATGCAACTCACTTCACCTGAATTGTCACTTTAGGACAGGGTCATTTGAGATCTCCACAATGACGATTGGTATGTAATGCTGTTATAAGATATGGGTGTTTCAGTTAAAAATACTAATCTCCTTCATGGATTGCGTTTGCACCATCTTTACTTCATTTGCTTTGCATATTGTGTTTGGTAAATACCAGTGATTCCAAATTAACATCCTAACATGTCTTCATATTGAAAGTACTGTATACTTTTGTGCTTCAACTCTTACATTGACATATAAAATGGCGAAGAAAATCATTTAGTCATCAAGCTTAATAAGGAGCTTTTAAAAAATACAAGATTCATTATTGGTCTAGAACCAATAATGAAGTTGTTCCCTTGTATACCCTTCACTTACCAATTCATATATATATATAAGTTTAGTTCTAGAACTAATCCTTTGCTTTTCGTTCATATCAGACTTTGCTTTTCGTTCATATCAGACTGTAAAGAGTCTGCCAGTATGGTATAGCTTATATCGATAGTCGGATCAATTGAGTACACTTTGGGTATACACATGTATGGCTTTGAAAGATAACATTTGACACACCAAACTTTTTTGAATCGTACTTTCCACTTCAGATGTGCAACATGAAGTTGCAAACAAAAAATAAAATAAAAGTGAACTTTAGTTTCCGAACTTTAAACTCAAGAGTTTTATGCACTTACTACTGTAGCAGCAATAAGAGATGTACTTTTGATATAGTAGTGATTCACTTCTGCGCATTTGTTTGTAAGAGGGAACATTTAAGCATCAAATTCACGATCTTGAAAGCTGCTGTGAAAAGCGAACAAACTATTATAAACGACTAGACACAGAGTTGGCTGCAGGCAGGATCTGCTTCCCTGAAAATGGCTCATATTTGCCATAACAGCACCTGATCTCATTAGTGACAGGAGGCTCGGATCACGGTATCTGGCAGAACCAAAGGTCTTCGGTCCAAAGTGCGCACAATAAAAAAACCTACGAATATAACTGGAAGATTTCTTCTCTTATAACTGACAGATTTCATTCACTTTGATGTTGCCAATGGGGGGTGATTTGACCTTTCAAGGAGATCTCTTCTCTTGAGAAAACTAGTTAAGTAGTAATAAGTAATGTAATCACAATGGTGTCGTGCGAATACATATCGCCATACACTCTACATCGCTGACATGCTACTCACATACACATACGCACACATACACACATACAAGGCGCGAGAGAGTACACACTCAAATGTCACAACTAAAATAAATGGGAGATTCCCCACTTGAATTCCCATCGGTCGATTACCCTACTGGCAACAAACCGTCACCGTCACAAACATGAGTCAAGCCCAACCCACTCCACACTCGGAGAATCCAGGTCGATGCAAAGGGGAAAGTCGCTCTACGCTCCCGACGCTTCTAGGCTCGACTCGAAGAACTAACGTTCTTCGAGCCGTCCCCGACTCTATACCCCTCGTGACCCGAACCCTATTTCCACGTCTAAATATAGTAAGTGCTCAAACTGCGTGAGCCGACTCGTAACTACATGACAGTTGTCGTGCGAATACATATCGCTTACACTCTATATCGCTGACATGCTACTCACATACACATACGCACACATACACACATATAAGGCGCGAGAGAGTACACACTCAAATGTCACAACTCGCCCCCCTAGCTGGCGGTCAGGTCCCTCTAACTCCCAGGTAGTTCTATCTACAACTACATGCTATACACCTTCGTGGGTACGCGAACCAGTAGGCCGGGTGCTATGTCGCCCCATCGTTAGTCGCCTATCTGCAATTCATAACATGTGAAGATCAAGTCATCTACCCCTCTGAAGTACATCGAGGACAAACCCATCGTCCAGGCGGAATAACATCGATAGGCGGAGTCAGGCACGACATGTGCCATCCCCTAGAGCACCTATCACACACCAACATACGGGCCGCCTAACCATCTAACCCACACAGCATGCACCTCAAGCCAGCACGTACTATCGCTAAGCTTGGGTCCATAGTGCCATCTACGTTTGGGAGGTGGCATGGCGCACAATTGCGCACATAATCCTTCCAAACAACGCCGTCACGACCCTCCAACATGAGAACTCCAGAAGGTAACACATCTCGCACTTGCAAGATTGTGCGTCACGCCGTCACATCCAATGTCGTCGGTGCAGTCTGTTGTAGATAGACGTAGTCTCCCACATGGAATCTACGAATCGATGGTCGATAACCTCCTCTCCGAATGGTTGCATATCGCAACGTATCTCTATGTTGAGCAATCGCAAGATTCTCAAACGCTGCAGGCATAACTCTCTGAAAGAGCTCTGCACGTTGAGAACATACTCTCACCCACATATTTGGGTCATCAAGGTTCACCACCTCGTTAGACTCATGACGAATCGATGTTGGCAAGTTTGGATCTCGGCCGTACAATAGAAAATATGGTGAGAAGGAAGCCAAGGATGCTTGACGACTGAACCGGTATCCCATGGCCAACCACGGTAGCTGGATATCTCAGTCCCCAAGATGACCTTTCTGCATGTCATACTTGTGCAACCCCCTCTTCACTGTTTGTACAACACGTTCAGCTAAACCATCCGCCTCTGGATGATCTCGTGACGTGGTCCGATGATCAATCAGTGCCTTGTCGCACAAGACCTGAAACTCCGTCCCCTGATCGGTCTACACCTCAGCTGGTGCACCATAGTGACTAAGCACTCTGTCAAGGAAAGCATACGCTACATCCTCACTTGCCTTGTCAGGTAATGCCACCAACTCAATCCACTTGGAGAAATGCTACACCATCACCAACACATACCGATGATGACGTACAATCAAAGGTAGTGGTCCAGCAAAGTCCAAACTACAACGGTAAC